CGATGGGTCCAATCCTGGAGTTTGTGGTTCTGGAGGGCGTGATGGAGAGGCTGTTTCTGTGGAGCCTCAGGAGACAGTTTACTGAGGACATGAAGCTGGAGCAGCTCAGGATGTACCAGATGCTTCTATCTCAGGCCAGACAGCCTCTACTGCACCACAAACCGGTTCTACGACCGCTCATGATGCTGCTGGCCTCCTGCGCCGGACCTGGAACTGGTGAGTTGGCGGTGAAATGGGAAATGTAAGCGTTCACCAGGGTTCTGACAGTGTCCATCACACCCTGATGATGGTTTGTAATCTTTACTAGACTCAGACAGCCTTCATTACCATGGATTTCCTAATCAGTTTAAAGACCACCTTTGCACAACGCAGCGGGAGTCCTGGAGCTGGTTGAGCTGTCTAATGATAGCTTATTGGTATTAAGGGGTTAATTTAGAAGTGGTTTCACATGCTGTAGGTGTAGCTGGTAAGATGTTTAAACAGTTACCTGGGTAGTTAATCCCCCTGTGTCCCCTCTCCAGACAGCGGCGGTGTGGTGGAGGCGGAGCTGGTCCTCCTGTTGAACCAGCTTTGTGTGGCTCTGGTCAAAGATCCCTCAGTGCTGGAGCTGTTCTTCCACACCAGCGAGGACCAGGGAGCTGCCAACTTCCTGCTCTTCTCCCTGCTCATACCGTACACACACAGGTAGGTAAACACACACACAGGTCCGATACCGATGCTACACACACAGAAAGGGTACCCCCACAGGTAAACGACCAACATGTACACATATGTTGTCCGCTTGATCACTCACAGGTGGGGTACACACACAAAAACACAGGTAAGGTACATGTGTAGGTATATAAACACAGCTGCATACACAAATATGACAATATTCCACATTTGATAAGGGTCATGTATTATATTTGGATATTCTTAAGTAGGACTTGTAGCATTTTCCGATTGGGACATGATGATGGATATTGTTTGGGTTTTAGAAGCATTCTTTGGTCATGTATAAAGCGTATTTGGACTATGCGTCTCATTTGGGGTTTTTAACGCAGTTTACAATCAGCTCTGTTTGCTGTGAACCAACCAAATAGCCAACAGTTTGGATACACTAAAGAAAAACCCACATTTCTGGTCAGAGGAAGAAACACACCTGCTTTTAAACATTATGAAAGACTTGCATATCAACTGGTTTTTGGACATCTTCAAATATTGCAACGCCAACCTTTTTTAAGAAGGTGGTTGAATGAATGAAAGAGGGAGGCCGTGTTTGCACAGTCAAACAGTCAGACTGGAAACAGCTCCATCTGTTCCACGTTTACTACAACAGCAACATGACTGCAGTTTGGAAAGGAGGGAAAGGGAAGGGAAATTCCTCTGTAGGACTTCCAGTACGTCATTGACAGAGAGGGACTATTAGTGGAATATTCATTTTCAGTTGTCATGTAAACAGTTTAGAAGTTGTCTTTTTCGGAAGAAGGGCAAAAACTGGAATATTTTGTGCTTGTAAACGTGAACAGAACCTTTATTATCGCTCTCTTTCTCCTTCAGACAGGGTTCGGTTGGCCAGCAGGCCAGAGACGCTCTGCTGCTCATCATGTCTCTGTCGGCCTCCGATCCTCGAGTCGCCCAGCACATCGCCGAGAACACGTACTTCTGTCCTGTGAGTGCACAAACACACACACATACATACACAGACACACCTATATATGCCACCAAACATCACATCAAGGACAGATAGTTTGAATCCATCATCACTAAACCTTCACGGTTCATTCCAAGACGACCGAGGAGACGGCGCCGCTGCTCACCGTCTGTTGGCGCATGTCTCATGGTCGTCTTCTGTCTGCCAGAGTGTCTACTAGTCTTGGAAATGTCAAGGATTTATTCAGGATCAGCGTCACTCAGTAGATGTGAATCACAGAGATAAGCCCATTTGCCCTATTTTGCATGCTTCAAACATAATGACATGAGGTTAATGCGGTGCTGTTGATGGGAAGGATGGAAAGAAACTAAAACATTCCCTAAAAAAGAGTGCTGGTTACATTTATTCCTAACAACTTCTTAAAAAATATGATTTTTGAGATCATTAGCCTGTTTTTTGCCGACTCATAAATACATGTGAGCTAAATCACACAGATTAGTTAAACCAGCCACACATCTGTGGATCAGTTAAAGGTAAACTCCATAAAGAGAGCTGCTAGTTTATCCCACAAAGACCCCCATTAGCTGAGCTAAACTAGGTTAATCTTACCTTCAAAATGCTTGAAAATAAATTAAAAAAGACCCTTTATGTGTTTTTATGAGAGCATGCAAGTAGGAAAACTGTTGAAAAGCCAATTCAATAGCTCATTACTACAGATATATATTTATGAATGAGACGGCTGTTTAAATGAGTGGAGTTTGTTGTTTGGTGCAGCTCTCCATTCATCTCCCCTCTGCATTGTAATCTCATTATCACAAGTTATGTAATAAACTAACAAGCTCATACTGCCCCCTCAGGGAGTATCAGTGTGTGTGTGTGTGTGTGTGTGTGTGTGTGTGTGTGTGTGTGTGTGTGTGTGTGTGTGAGTGTGTGTGTGTGTGTGTCATCATGTAAAAGAGTTGTTATGACTTATATATGACAATTTGACAGTATATAACTTGTATGTTGTCCTAGGTTTCTGCCTTTTTACAGGCAGTTTTTCCTTGCCCTTGTCGCCAAGTGCTTGCTCATGGTGGTACTGTTGGGTCTCTGTAATTAATGTTATAAAGAGTTCGGTCTCGACCTGCTCTATTTGAAAAGTGTCCTGAGATAACTTCTGTTATGAATTGGCGCTATACAAATAAAATTGAATTGAAAAATTGAATTGAATATATCTTGTGTTCACAGGGAACTATACCCTGAATGTAATTATACAACCCTGCGTTGTAAAGTTACATTTAAATTTAGTTGTATGCTTGTGTCTGTGTGCCAGCAAGAGAGAGAGAGAGAGAGAGAGAGAGAGAGAGAGAGAGAGAGAGAGAGAGAGCAGATATACAGTGTCAACAAGGTGAGGAGGAGGAGGAGGAGGAGGAGGAGGAGGAGGAGGGGAAAGTTAGGGAAAGCAGTAAAGGAAACTAACAAGGGAAGTGCAATTAAAAGATATCACAAAAAGCCTTAATGTGAAGAAAAGTTCTCAACACTTCAATAAATAAAGAAAAATGATTAAAAAATAAATCAAATGTTAGGCTGTACTTTGTTACACCAGTAAACACAAAGTACAGCTGAGGCTGATGGGAATGTTATTATGATATATGATATAATGAAAGGAGCTAGATGAAAAGATTTAAATGTAAAAACTTCAATATCTCACCAACAGTAGGATGAGTTGATGAGATTTACACGATCCAAAGATTTAAGCAAGATTAAAAAAGAAAATGTTTTCTAATGTTCCTGAAAGACAAGAATGTTTTGTTTACGTGTGTCCTTCAGGTATCGCTTGGCGGCCATGTTGGCTCCGTCACTGCTAGTTTCTGCTCTTACTGTTTGAGTGAGAGAACGAGAGGGAGGGAGTGTGTATGTATGTGAAAGGGCGAGCAAAGACACTGAACCATGTGCCACCTGTGTGTGTGTGTGTGTGTGTGTGTGTGTGTGTGTGTCAGATTTAAGCCCACGTAACCACACTCTGACCTCAATCTTTATGTAGAGAGCAGATTAGTAAAGCAGCATGAGATTGGCTCGTACACAGAGAGAGGGATTAGTAAGTCTGCACGTGATTGGACAGTTTCCTGATTGTTAACGAGACTCAAGACTGCTGCTGTTATTGTTATTGTTGTTGTTGTTATTGTTGTTGTTGTTGTTGATGATGTTGCTTCCTCCATCTACCTACTAGCACCTCCAAATGTCTCTAATTAACATGTTATATTTAGTTTGTTTAAAGGGAAGTGTTGGCCGGAGCAGTGATATAATGAGATATAATGTGTTAGTTGGGATGTTTTTACCTTTGGTCAGTGCCCGGCTAATCATCTGACAGCTATATCTTCATATTGACCATACAGATATGAGAGAGATCTTGTCATCGAACTTGAATAATTGAATAAAGATATTTAGTTTCTTATTTTATTTTCTCCTCAGTTTCTATCTGCCCTCAATCTCTGCTATTTATAAAAAGAACACACTAATCTGCACCGGAATTTAATTTCCACAAAAGCCTGTGTGTTGGTGTGTGTGTGTATGTGTGTGTGTGTGTAGTGCTTCACCTGTATCCATGTGCCGTGTGTCTGAAACCACTAACCTGCACTTGTATGTGTGTGTGTGTGTGTGTGTGTTCACAGGTGCTGGCCACAGGTCTGTCTGGTCTGTACTCGTCTCTTCCAGCCAGGCTGCAGGTTTACAGTGAAGACTGGCACTGTCTGGACCAGGCTGACTGGCAGCAGGTAACCATGCCAACCACACAGCCAGTGAGTGAGTGAGTGAGTGAGTGAGTGAGTGAGTGAGTGAATGAATGAACGGATCCATGACAGCACTGAGTTGTTGTTGATGACTGAGTGAGGCTGAGAAATGAGGGAACAAAGGAGGTTTTGTGAGTGAATAAAGGGATTAATAGAGGACGTTATACGAGTGATGATTAAATGAAGCATGAAGCAATTTAAGCAAGTATGATATATTTGTGATATAAATATATATTTATACTATAACTATATACATTATAGCATAATTTTACATAGTATACTATAATATTCATCATATCCACCCTATTTCCTTGTGTCTTAACATGCTAACATAATAAGCACAACATACATCTGAGGCTGATGGGAACATCATTTAGTTTTGCTGCTATTTGGTCATAAACCAAAAATAAAATGTGACTTGATGATGGCACTACATGAAATATGGGATTATCAAAGTTATTCCAGTTCAACTTGAGGGGAAAATGAATGTATGACCCAGATTTCACAATCCATCCAGTTTATCTTCAGAGATTTTACTCAAAACCACAAATGTGGTTTATGGTGAATAAATCTTTGAATGAATGTGTAGCAAAAATAAAATAATAAATGAACAGATTCCATGAAAGACTGATTGATTGTCTTGATACAAGAAATGAACGATGGATGATGTCTTTCTTACCCAGTGTTTGGGTCAACAGGTTCCTGCTCTCGTCCACTTCCTGCACTCACTGGACTTCTGTAGCGCTGTTACCAAGGTAATGTACACACACACACACACACACACACACACATACACACACACACTTACGTGACCTAAAGCCAACTCTCTGTCTATCTGTTTCTGTCTCTCTCAGGTTGCTCACCCCTCCATCCGGTCTCAGTTGCTGGGTTACATCTACAACGGCTTCCTGGTCCCCGTACTGGCTCCAGCTCTGCACAAGGTAACAAACCTCCTCACTATTGGCTACTCTCTAGGGATGCACCGTTTTCTGTCGGCTGATATTCGCCTCGTTGACCGATCGGCCTATTGATAAATGAGATGACATTCAGCAGTGGCAATGGCTGATTAGGACGACATAAAAGAATATTTTTGTCAGGCTATTTCAGTACTAAAAAATGTCTTCTCATTCAGGAGGTTGATGTATAACTAAAAAGACTTTGAAGCAGTAATTAAAAACATAGATATATTATTTTTCAAGTGAAAGAAGGTTATATTAAAGGTTGTTTCCTACATTTGTATGATTGAATTTGTGCTCATTCAAAGATAGTTAAATGGACGGCTGAATGACGTAACAGTTCAATTAATTTTTTTGTTGGGCTGGCTCAAAAGGTGGAATCAACAACAACAACAACAACAATAACAATAACAAAAGAACAAACAGTGTTATTTGTATCGGCTATTGGCCAAATTGTTATTTCAAACATCAGTGCGACCCTGTACTGTCACATACATGTGATCACCACTAGAGGGCTCAAGTGTTAACTTAAACTCTCAATGTGTATGTAGATTAAATATCTTTTTGTCATTCATGCTTACACACATGTGTGTGTGTGTGTGTGTGTAGCTGACGGTGGAGGAGGTGATGACCACCACGGCATACCTGGACCTGTTCCTGCGCTCCATTCCCGAGCCCGCCCTCCTCCAGACCTTCCTGTCCTTCATCCTGCTGCACACACATGACAACGTGCACATCCTGGACACACTGGTCAGCAGGGTCAACACACCTTTCCAGGTAACACACTAAGCTACAATCCCCTGTTTGATGATGTATGACTCTTAAACCATGCAAATGAGCATGACCTTGACTTTTTACCCGTTTGTGTGTCCATCAGTTGGGTACGGTGTCGCTGGCTCTGTTCAGGACCCTGATTGGTCTCTTCTGTGAAGACGTAATGCTGCAGCTGGTGTTCAGGTCAGTCACACAGGTTTTGACCCGTACTGAAAAATACTACATTATACGAATTTAGGTGTTTTCATTCAGTTAGAATGGTTTCCAGACATTAGTCCATTTGGGACTGTCTCATCCACGGTTATGCTTGGGAAAAACTTCTTTGAATGATGTATTGTAGTGCACCAGAATTAGCAGTGATGTATGCTGGGGCTGAGCAGGATGTGTCTTTGTGTCCTCAGGTATCTAATTCCCTGCAGACACCTGAGCAGGAAGCAGTTCTGCTCCCTAAAGCAGAGGGACTGTTACTCCTCCAGTGCCGCCTCCTTCCTGCTTCTCATGCCTTCCTGGTGTCCTGGGAACCTCCACAATACTAACACACATTCAGAGCACATCCACTGGCCCAAAGGAGCAGGTCAGTACAACTATCATCTACGACACAAGTACTGTAAATACTCTCTAACATGTGTTTAGAACTTAAATTGTCTGTCTGTGTCAGATCTGTCAGTGTCAGACAGTGTTGGTTACTGTCGTGGTTCAGACTTTCTGATGGATGTAAATTATCTCCACTACCTCTGGGACGCCCGCCAGGCCATCTCCACTTCCCACAGGTCAGTCTCAACATCATGTTTATGTAAGATAAAATCAGAGGATGTAAGAACATGGATGGATAGGTGGGTCATAGCACATTCCTCACCTAGAGACACAGTGAATACTCAAGAAATACTGTTGCAAAGGTGTCCACGGTGATGGGGAAACAACTGTGAAGCAGTTGTGCTCAAGAGGGTTAATTATTACAAAGCTTTTAGGGACATCTGCTGGGCAATGGCTAGTATTACACTGGAAGCTGGGAAGTTTTTTTGGGAGCTTTCGGTAATGTTTTGAAGGCATTTGTTAATAAAGTACACAATTTGAATTCTTTACCTGATGATGACGTTAGTTAAAAAGTTGAGATCTCCAGAGTTTTAACAACTTATTTTGAGGGGAATCTGAATGTCTGTACTAACTTTTATGGAAATCTGTCCAATTTGGTGTCACATGTCTCATCTGTACCTCTTTTTCAGAAAATCCAGATACTTACTGTTCATGACATCAATATCTCTCAAATATGTGTTTTTATTTATAAGGTATATTCAGATCATGAAAACTTTCCAGAGCACTTTAAGACTTATTTTAAATTTAATTCTCAGGCCCACTCTTATCCAACAATCTTTAGATCTTCATCCCCCAAGATTTTTTACGTGTAGAGGTCAATTTACTATTAAATTTAGGGGTACCAAATTATGGAATACTTTTTCCCATCTGGCAAAAAACTCCATCTCTATAAAATGTTTCAAAAGATGTCTAAAAGCCCATTTAACTGCTGTTTCACACACAAATACACTTTTATATCATGTTTATATTTTTGTTTTCATATTGTCATTTTGTTGTCATTATAACTTGTTGTTGATGTTATATATTCCTTTTCTCTATTATCAGTTTGTTATTACTTAATGTAGTTATAATATTCTCTGTATGTCAATTTTCTGTTCCTTATAACTATGACATTTTAGGTGGAGGCTTTAAATAAGCCCATCTGGGTTTTTTTGCCTCTCCCTGTACTTTACACTATTTGCTATCTTTTTTGTTTTTAATGTAATTCTAATCTGTGCAAAAAAAAAAAAAAATTGTCAAATATTGGCATTGTCCAAATGTCATGGGAATTCATCCACTAGTTTTCGAGATATTTCCGTCTGGACCAAAGCGGTGGACTAACTGACTGGCATTGCCATCCCTAGAACCATACTGTCACTGAACCATGAGATATACACTAAAAGTTGATAATGATGCTCAGATGACCCTCAGATCCTGTTTTTGGGAATAACCCAGTAAGAGAATATTCTATTTGATCACATTTCAGCTGTGATGAGTTTTGCTTTCTTGCAGGGCATGTCAGCTCTGGTCGGCTCCGTATGACGGGATCAACCCTTTGCCTCAAGAATACCGATCTGACACACCAGGGGACGACATAGAAGATGAGGAAGAGATCGTACCGCGAGCCAAGAGTGACTCCATTAGCTCTTTGGTCGTCACTCCTCCCCCTTTGACCCTCTCCCCGACCCTGTCCTCTTCAGATACCATCTCCACGGGCAACCAGGCAGGAAGAGCCAGTTCTGCCCTGGAGCTGGAGTGGGATGACATTTTTGCAGATGACGATCTATCTTTATCAGGGGTACTAAGCACAACATTCGCAAATGGCAGCATGACCATGGATGTGGACCGATGCACTTCTACACCTGCACCCCCTCTACCTCCTCGACACATCCAGGAGATGCGACGCACCGCGACCAAGCTGGTGCATGGCTCGTATGTAGAGGAATCTGAGTTTCAGGACGATGTTCTGGTCTACAATCTTGTCGCCCAGACTGATACAAAGGCGGCCATTTTGGAGCGAATCATGGCAGCAAATAGACGGGCCCGCGGAAGCATCTCAAATGGCCAGCGAGTGTCAACAACAACAACGACAACAACAATAGCAACAATGTTAACGACCACAGGTAGGACGGTAATGGAAACAGTGAACAGTATAATGTCGACAAGGAGGTGGAGCGAGGATGCAGGCAAAGAGGAAAGAAGATGGAGTGACGATTATGGGCAGAAGGTGAGGAGGAGGAGTGAGGACTGTGGAAAGGAGCTGTGGAGAAGGAAAGAGGAAGGAGAAGATGAGATAAGGAGGATGTGCGCACAAGGAGAGCCAAAAGGACGTCAGTTTTTCACCAATGGTTTTAATGCAAAGCATCATATCATCGACGAATGTGATGACACTGATGAAGCCAACAAGCCATTTAAGCAAAACTGCAACCATGGTGACCTCATAACTACTGTCAAACACAAGCACACACCTCACCAGCAGCACATACACCACAACACACAACATCCCATGCCACAGTCAATGAAAAACACTTTACCCAACGGCCATTCTGAATCTGAGCCACGTGACCCTTTGGTCTCTGCAACTGCTGCCAAGTCTCCAAATCTGCCTGGTAATAATGTCACCAATAAGGATGACTTCCTGTCCCGATACCACAAGCTCATGCTCTCTTTAGGTGTGGAGCCAGACTGTGACGACATCACAGATGACATCAGCACGTTCAGGAAGCGGGTCCGAGAGCTGAGGCAGAAACTAGAAGAGGAGGAGGAAGGACTTGACGAAGAATTAGTTTATAGTTCCTTGTGGGATGACAGAGAGGAGGAAGGAGAGGAGGAGGTGATGGAGGAGGAAGAGGAGGAAGGGGAAGGAGAGGAGAGGAGGAGTGGCAGTAAGAAAGGCAGCAGGAGACATGGAGTTCCATTTACAGGTTTGTGGTTTCAGGCACAAGTGAATTAGATGCTGTGTGAACAAAGAAGCTTCCTGCAGCAGAAAACATCCATTACAAAAATGTAAAATGGCATAGTGATAGAAGAACATTAAAAAAATGACCTTTCAGTTAAGACAGTATTGTCTAAAAATATGACGACCTGGTTGGAAACATAAGATAATACTTTACTGATCCCACACAGGGAAAATGTGGGTGAAACAGCAGCACAAGGACAGAAATAACAAAGACGAGTGTATTCATAAGATTATGTAGTTGATAACAGTTGGTTATCCTCAGTCCTGCCCCTTTTTGCTCTGTGCTCTAATAAAAGTTCAGCAAGTTTTAGTCAGCGCCTCAACTTTCTCCTATCCTGTACTAAGATATGCTATTTGCCATGCTTGTCTATGCTGAAAAGACACGGTTAAAGGCACGGGGCATAGGAAGGTCATATGGTCAACTGCTGACCTGTTGGCAGTTTAAAGTTGTTTAAAGTTTTCCTGGACTACTGACAGGTTGTAACCCAGACTTGAAAAAGGATACATAAAGTAATGAAGAAGAATACTGGATACTAAATCAGACATAAAACTGCCTAATATTCTATAAATTATCTTTATTTTGCAGTTGTTCAGTCACATCTAGAGGCAGTCATTGATATTCTGGATGAAAAATAAAACAAAAGAACAACATAAACTGAAGTCAGTTAACTTACATTTCTAATTAATATTTCCAGAAGTGACATGCTAGAATCTTCTCAGATTGTGAAAGATTTTTATTATTGTTTACTGGACAAATACATCTCCATTGTTTTGCACCATATTCTCGCTCTGTCACACACACTAACCTGTATTTTCCCATGATGCCTCAGGTCCGTTCATCAGCGTCCTGTTGTCCAGGCTGGAGAACCTTCTGGAAAACTCCATTGCTGTGAACCTGCTGGTGACGGGCATCCTGGCCCAGCTGGCGTCATACCCTCAACCTCTGCTGAGGTCCTTCCTGCTCAGCACAGACACACACAACCTGCCCAACGTACGCACACTGTACCAGGTAACATCCACACACTCACACAACCACGCCATGTACGTCTGATTTTATTTCACATTCTATTTTTGAGCTATCCAAATGATAACACTGTGTTTGCGATGCGTAGGTGTTGGTGTCGGTGAATGCTCAGATCGAGCGCTACGTGGCGGCTAGACCAGAATATCCTGCCCTGGTCACTCAGGCCTGGAGGTTCTTGTTGGCGAAAGACCAAGACAGCAAGTTTAGAGGTTAATAAACACACACATCAACACACACAAACAGATTATGTAACCCACCCCCATCTGAAGGTTTTAGTGCCTGAAGTTGCTGCAGTAATAGTACTACAATAAAGTGTTAATAGTAGCAGTAAAAGTTTCAGCAGCATTAATATGTTTATTATTGTAAATGTGTTTATTCACTTTCTTGCCAAGAGTTAGAAGAGAAGATCACTACAACTCATCCTGTATTCATTTGTTGAATATTAACTACAGGCAGGAAATGGAAATGCAAGTTTCAGACACTGATGATCTAACAAGCACATTGTTTGAAGTGCAATCTGACTTCCAATCAGCCTTCCAATCACAGTATAACATTTCCTAATTTTTATCAGAGTGCCTCCAGCCTCAGGGCGGCGACATCATCCTGGACCCGTCGCTTCCTAACGGCTCCGTGAGGAACGCTCTGGCTTTGCCTCCTCTTAGCGTCCTGCCGCCCTGCCCTCCTATTCCCCCCCAAGCCAAGAGCCGAGTGTTCGCCATCGTCCTGTACGCAGAGTTCCTGAAAGAGCTGGCTGCCATTGCCCAGGAGCACAGCATCGCACTGGACTGTTCTTCAGAGGAGTAATGGGAGTGTTTTGGCCACCAGCAGAAGAGTGAGGGCTTCTAAAAACCCTAAAGCACAAAACATGCACATACATTACACATTGAGCTGTAATGCAAGTGAGTAATTATTGTGGATATTGTAATAAAATGTTGTTTTTATGCGTAGGTTTGTATGTACACTATATTTATATTCCTGGCAGCACTTGAATATTTGGATGTTTTCCCAGTGTGAATATGGATATTATGGATTTACTATGGATTATTTATAAGTAGACGGAAATTATTTGAAGGAGATTATTTTGATGTTTTCTATATATTTGTGGGATTGGTGCAAATTAGTTTTATATGATATTTTCTGAAATCTTTGCACAAGTAGGTAATGTCGAAAAAAAATTAAAACCATTTGAAGTTTTCTTTTATTTTATTTCTGTGGCTGCCATTTTAAATCAACCTCCTCCTCCTCAGGAGGGGGAGGTTAGTGCATAAACTAGTACAAAAATACACATAAACAGAGACTATGCATCAGAGAGTCTTAACAGTTATTACTTTTATCAACACAAACACCAACCACAGTAGTTGGAGCAGCAGAGTAGTAGTAGCAGATTGCAACTCCCTTGCTTCACCCTCCCTTTCCATGCGCCAACAAGAAAATACAGTGGCCAAGAAATGTGCAAAAAATGTGAATGCCTGTATTTAGAGCCAATGTTTGATTTGTACTTTCTGGGCTGCTGTAGAAACATTGTGGTTCAACAACTTCCCTTTCTTAAATACATACATAACCATTCTGCTTCTCCAAACTCTCTCCTCTCTGGAAATTGGAGAGTTTGGTTCAACAACACATAAGATTTCTACAAACACATTTACATAAAGTAAATAATTAAAGAAATAATACACTACAGGCAAGAGTTATTGTAATTTCTGCATTTTAAACAAACCAAACCAAACTGAATGTGTGTTTTTCAGAGAAGTTCAGTATCATTTATGTCCCTCCAGTTGTTATTGTGCATCTATAGAAATCAGAGGCTTCGCCTGTACTTCAGTTAACCTTGGAGGGTTTTTTAAAGCACATGGTTTCATGTATTGTGTCCACTATCTGTGTTTACCTGTTTGAATCAATTTTTCTTACTGCTGTACTGGTCATACATTTTTATGCTGAAAATGAAAAATGAGTGACAAACTTTGAATCTTAATCAAAAGGGGACGATCCTCTGTGATTAGTTGTGTCTTTCTGTTTTATAATGTTTTCCTGATGTGTCTTTATATGCACACAGAGTAATGACAAAGCCTTATTTTAACCTACACAGAGATTTTAGTGCAAGAAACCAAGATGCAAAAATGATGTATGTTAGTCTTATGCAAATATGAGATCCCAATTAATGTAATTTGCACTTCTATGAGTGTGCATTTAATTGTTTTTATTGTAAAATGTGTGATTTTTATTGACAAATTTCTTTCATTTTTGCCCTTTTTCACCTGACAAGAGTTAATTCCTGATGATGCTCACCAGGTCAAGTGGTAAAGAGGGTAGATTTGAGTTCTAAACTCTGAACCATGCTGTTACTCGGACGTCCAAGTAACAGTAAAGCTTTTTCCCAGTTGATGTCAATGCAGCATGCACACTACCAGCCTCTCTTCATAATACAAACTGCGTTTTTATGGAGATATTATGGGATGGACCAACCTGACTGAACACTACAGCTCTCAGTTCAGCTCCCTGTGCTCACTCAGAGGCTGAATGTTAACACTGCCACCTGCTGGCGAATCACCGCTGGGACACCTTTCCTCTCCTTTTGGAATAAATTATTGCCAAAATGAAAATAATTAAACTGATTTTGACAATCTTATTTTGATTGCAGATTTTTAATTCTTTCTTTTTGCAGTATTAGTTTGTTGATTATAAGATGCAGTCATTCAAAGGGTTCTAAGCGTATTTGGAGGTCACATCTGCAAACTGCAGATTTCTTTGCTTGCAATTAGATGATCGTATAAATGACTGTAATGGAAGAGTCGTACTGAATGTTTCTCTTGCACAACACCGAAAAATGTGAATGTGTATTTACACGTTAATATGAAGTATGATTAGGTGAACAGTACACACATTGGAACATGTCACATAGGAGCCCCATTCACCAGGATAGAAGTGTTTTTAAAGAAGTAGTTTAGGGGGAAATGCTTGTTTGCTCTCCTACATCTGTACAGTGAAAGAAGACAAGGGGAAACAGCTTGCTAGGCCCTGTCTAAACAAGAAAATTATGTCAGCACATGTAAAGATCACTAATGTGTAGGGTGCAAGATTACTCAGTGGGATAGTATATGTATTGCAATGCCAATGCAATTCTGTCTGAGACAGAAAGTCTACTGATGTGTCCAAAGCACACTGTGGTTAGCTGGTTCCTGTTTCTGACACAGATAAACATTTGAAGTGAAAGACAGCAGACACACATTGGCCGCTTTTAGCCGGAGAAACTTCGGTGATCTGAGTTTTTCACTTGAGGAGAAGACTGACGACAGAAAGAGATGATGAAGGTTTACCTGCTGATATGGGCTGTCGGTGAGTCTGTATAAAATCGATCAACTGTGGTTTACTGCGTTCCGTCACCCTGATTGTACCTTGGTGTCGGTACGTTCAGTGATTTTCTTACATACTGTATGTCCTATACATTCATTTCCTGTTCCCTGGCCAACCTGCATGTATTTAAATCTATAGTGTTTTTACAGGCCTTAAGATATTGGAAAAGCAAAGAAAGTACAATAATTGCTGAATTTTAGGTAAATACAAGATCTTAATTTTTATTTTGTAAAACATGTTGAAATGGAAAACACACCACTTTTGACAGAGCTACCAAATCTGACTTAATTCAGCAACAACCAAGTGCTCAAGTATAGTTTTTTAATATGATATTTTTAATTCTGTTTTATGTATCTTTAGTGTTCCGTTTACTCTCTTTTTTACCTTACTGTCCTAACCTCTACGGAACAGCACAATCTTAATCCATTAATCTGTCACCGTTAATGTAAGGGCAAAAGAACAATCACAAGACAAAAATGTGAAGAACTGAAAGTCATATCTCCTCTTTTCTTCCACTTTAATCAGCTGACAACCTCAGTTTCATACCTTCATGAGCATATAGCTCTCACATGGTACCCACTTCCTCAACCCTTTGCTGATGCCTTCTGGAGAACATGCATGATCAAGGTTTTATCATGGTTACTATAAAACATGCTCCAACAGTTGTTGTTCCTAACCTGGGGGTCAGAACCCACACAAAGGGACCTGGAAAGATGATTAAAATATAAAAAATCAATTCTGCTCCATAAAATGGATCTAAAGCGTTACCAAACTATGTTTAGTTTTCAGGATTCTCACTCACTATTGTCTTTGTCCTGAACATTTTTATTTCCTTACAAATGAACTTCCACTGAACTGCTCACAACTTGTAGACATTCACCCTCTGACAGTAAGTCATAAGCGGATCTTGCTTTGTGTCACAAGCAAAAAAGGTTACACGTCACTGTAGTGCAATTTGTTACTGCAACTTTACCAAACATGAATTGCTCTTTCTGTTCTTATTTACCTGTAGGTGCTGCAGTCATTTTATCAAGGGGAGAGGATGATCATGAGGGAATGGAGTTTGATTATTATTCATACGAAGGCAACAACTCCTTATCAGAAGAAGATTATCAAGACTGGCCAGGTGACTTGACCTCTCTTTCGTCCTTAGATAAATTCCTCTGGACCATGTTCTCTCACTTGTTTTCTTTATGTTAGCACAGTGTCATCCTGAGGCTGCTCTAGGCCTACATGTTACAAGTCTGCAAATAGATCTATGAAAATCCATTTGATTATTTTGCTCGCCATGACTTTGATTTAATTTGTCAGTACCAGCCAAATCAGACAAGTCAAAGAGTATATTTAGTATGAGTGTATTTTAAATTTCTTTCTGTGTGTGTTTGAAGTTTCCTTGTTTAATGTGACAGAGAATAAACCTACACATCTGCAGTGTGCCACCTGTGTACCTCTCACTTGTGGTATGATACTATGGTTGACACAGTGGTCAAATTTATAACTAGTCTGGTACCTGTTACATTGAAAATAAGATTGGTCTCAAGTTCAGGTGGATGGTGGTGTAACCTATTTTATTTCATCTACTACCAAATGTGCAGCCTGCACATTAAAAGTGTAGTAGTAAATGAAATAGAATAGAAATTATGTGATTTCAGTACAGGTTATTGCAGCCCAACAGAAACATTTATTTTGTAGGGAAAGAAACAGAAAAAGTCGTGTGTGGGCACATGTGTAGCCTTTGCTTTATTATTTTACACTCCTACATCAGTAGACGCCCAACCTAACTCACTCTTGGTGTTGTGCGTTAATCGGGTGGTGGTGGCCTGGGATCGTATCAAATTCCCGGCCTGAATTATTGTCCCAGTCCGCCCCTGCCTACGTGTTATAAGTCTGCAAATACGATCACATATTTTACGAATATGCATGGATAAACTGTTATGATAAAATGTTCGGTAAATAATGTTTTACACTCATGTTGTTGCACTTTAATGGATTATCTGTTTTCTCTCTCTGCCTACAGCTCCCAGCAACCACTCTCACTTCTCCTCTGCAGGTAACCTCAGCCCACTCCATCTGGTCTATGCTCTCTTGGTTATGTTCATCTTAGCATATTAAAAACCACTGTTTTTCCTGATGTGATTTCACTGAAGTTTCATTTTGTTTTTTATTTTTTATTAATACATTTTTGGCATTTTGGCTTCAGAGAGGAATTACATTTTGTGGAGCACTTGTACTTTAAATACACCTGTCACTTGTACACAAAATGTTACAATCTCTTAATTAAAGGGCTTGTTTTATATTCTCTAGCTATGACAGGACAATATTGGTTGTGGGAACTATTTTGGTGCGTCTGTTTGCAGATAATGCCATCTGTTATCTATGATTAGCATCTGATATACTCTGTAAAGTGAAGTAACTAAAACACCCTTTTTAGAGGACTTAAAAGTTCTCTGTATTTCTTGTAATTTATAAACATAATGTTGGATCAATAAAGTTTGATATAACTGCCAATACAGTTTGGTTTATTATAGATTTTAAAATGGCCACTTTGGGTAATGGACCTTATTTGAGTGTTTCCTGTTTTGGAATTGCTTTTCCTCATCCTTATTTCAGAGGGTATTATTATGGTTTTCACTTAAATACATATCAATACAATGTGTAGGGTAGAACCAGAGAGCCAATGTCACAAACAATCACAACACACTATTGAGTCTGTTTAACACCTGATAAAAACATGAGTCTTGGGTGATCTGATCCCAAGTGGACAGCTTTAAGTACGTCAGTTTACACCTGGTATTAGAATGCGTCTCAAGTGACCACTGGTGATTGGATCTCACTTCCCCACTCTGTAGGGCTGTGACAGAGCCAGTGAACCAAACCCAAACCCAAGATGCATTCTATCAGTTGTAAACAGGCTCATTAGCTGGTTCCTCTTTTAGTAGCTGACAGTAGAGTAGAGAACTACAGATGCAAGGAGACAGACAACAGAAACAGACAACAAAATGCAGGTAAGCATCTAACCAGAAGTGCAAAAAACAGTAAAGTGCAGAGTAATGTACATAGTACAGGGATATATTAAAAAAATAACATTATATATATATATGAATATACTAGAAGAAGATATAAGAAGATATATACTCTATTAATCCCCTATTAGGAAAATTCTTTTTTATTCTTACACACACACAGGCTGAAATACACACTTCATACACTTGTGGACATGCAACAGGGAGAGAGATGGTGGAGTGATGGGCTCGCCACGTTAGCTGCGCCCATGAGCAGTTTCTTGGGGTTAGGTTGCCTTGCTCAAGGGCACCTCGGCAGTGCACAGGAGGTGAAACTGGCACCTCTCCAGCTACCAGTCCACACTCCATATTGTGGTCTGTGGTATGACTAGCAGAATATATACAGTATGGACAGCATTAACAGAACAAGAAGTGAATACACTAAGATATATACAGCTATTAAGTAAATATATTTACAGTATGAACAGATTAGCAGTAAATTATATAGTGCAGATGTAAGTACAAGTGTATGATCACACAGCTCGTAACTACTCATGTAGTGTCAGGTCATATAGATAGATTCTTTGATGTCCTTTCCAGGAAATTTGTTGCTACAGTCTATACATAATCTCATACATACACACACAACATTAACACAAGATAAAGATCTAACACAGCACATTAGTACATACATTCTGGTATTTTGTCGAGTAATGCTTTGGCAGAATAGGCCAAAACTTAGCAAGCATGTTTACAGGCCAGTGAAGTGTATCTGTGCCCGGATGGGAGCAATGTGAAAAGTTGATTGACGGGGTGCCTGGGGTTGTGTGCTATGTTGTGTGATCTGTGTGGGATGGCTTTACTGTTGAGGTCTGAATGGTTGGGGCTAGGGAGACCAATCATTTTGGAGTTTGTTCCTATTGGAGGCAGTTAATATATTAAAGACACAGGTGGATCAGTAAAGGAGAATGGGTTATATATAATTCTATAAAGCAGCTGTGTGAAGTGGGATATGGAGTCTAGATAGATTGTCATTTAGGAGTACAAGACAGTGTCATCAGAGTATTTGATGTACGTGGTGATGGGTGTGGGGCTGGTACAGTCATTGCTGTAGAGGGTAAACAGGAAGGGACTCAGGACACAACCTTGTGGGGCTCCGGTGTGGGTGGTGATGGTAGAGGATGTTATAGTGCCCTCTGTGACGGTTTGTGGTCTGTCACTGAGAAAGCTGTGTACCCAGTGGATGAGGAGTAGGTGGACGTTTCCTGATCATCTAGTGCAGTGAAAGCAGAACTGAAGTTGATGAAAAGCAGTCTGGCAAAGATACGGAGTGATTCTAGGTGTTGTAGGAGGGAGTGAAGGAGGCATGCCACAGCATCCTCTGTCCCCCTTTTGACCTTATAAGTGAACTGATGGGAGTCCAATTGTGCTTTGTGCTCTACGTGCATAAAAGTGACAATGTATCAGACTGATATTCAAACATGGCTCTCACATGATACCCACTTCCTCCTGTTGTGAGCAATCCTTTACTGACCTCTTCTGGAAATTCAAATCTTATCATGGTTCCTGTGAAATATGCTTCTGTAGTTGTTGTTCCTAACCTGTGGGTCAGAACCCACACAAAGGGACGTGAAATTATTATTAATATATTGCAAAACTCCTTTCAAATGAACTTCCACTGAACTGCTCACAATATATAGACATCACCCTTTGACAATGAGTCAAAAGCTGACATTGCTTTGTATTAAAGGGTCACAAGCAAAAAAGGTTACAAACCACTGTAGTCGAATTGTTATTGCAACTTTAACAAATATGAATTGTTCTTGACATGAATTTTTCAGAAACAGAGGCTAAAGAAATCTATAACTCAGAAGTTGAAGAAGAATTTTCCCAGACCTACCAGGTGACATGACCTCTCTTTCCTCCTAAGATAATCTCCTCTGGTCCATTTTTTATTACTTGTTTTCTTTATGTTAGCACAGTTTCAGCCTCAGGCTGCTGTGGACCTATGTCTTACAAGTCTGACATGAAGATGTTCCTATTCCGGCTTTGGCCAGTCCATAGTTCAGGTTTCATTTGATAGCTAGAGAGGTGGACCGCAAAATGCAATGTTTTACACAGCTGAAAACCACAAATCATACGGAAGAAGTTTGCTTGCTTTTGGAGTTTGTCTGCTTGTCTGCTCTAATGTAAGCAGCATGTTGGAAGCTCTTGGGGAGGGGGGAGTTAAAAATTTTCAGCCAAACAGCCAAATGAGAGATAGTGTTGTGTGTATTTAAATATGGCAGTTAGTCCTCAACCTTAATACCTTTTCTGTGTTGCATATATGTTTTTTTATAGTAAGCATCCAAACATGGCTATGATCAGTCTGATCTTCTTGTAATTGCGATTACAGTCACAATTTTTTTTTGACACTGGACGTAAAAAACACCCACCGGTAATCACACAGATCTAATGGCAGGTTAAATTCAAGTATGGAAATCAGTAACTGGAACAAAAAATTGCATTGGAGCATCTCCACTGATGCCAAGTGTCAGGGGAACTTTAATCTGTTGTCTTTCTCTACCTACAGCCTGAAATCAGAGATGAACATGACCCCTCTCACTTCTCCTCTGCAGCTGAACTCAGCCCACCCCATCTGCTCTATATTCTCTTGGTTTTGTTCATGTTAGCTTAATAAAAAAAAGCATTCTATTGCTTGATGTGATTTCCTTTTTATTTTAATTTTTTGTTAATTCATTTCTTGCATTTTGGCTTCATAGAGGGATGACATTTTTTTGAGCACTTGTACTGTAAATACACTTGTAAAATGTCACAATCTGTCAATTAAAGGACTTTATATTCTCTAGCTATAACAGGATGGGATTGTCTGCTGGAATTATTGTGGTGCATCTGTTTGCAGATGATGCCACTTGTTATCTATGATAACAATCTAATATACTCAACTTAAAACCTTTTTTAAGAACTGCAAAATTGCTTTGTTTCTAGGATTGTATGATGATGTAATAAATCAATAAAGTTTGACATAATCTCTGATGTATTTTTTGTTTATTATAATTTTGCAGACTAATAATTTTGATTCAGTGTGGGATAAGATCTTAAATTGTTACTGTTGTGAAGTAGAAATCTGACTTGACTTTTCAGGAATCCAACCTTTAATCTTGATGAACCATTTTTGACATTGAACATGCAGATAATTTGGGGGACATACTGATGGTGCAGTACGTAAAAGCCACTAAAAGAAACTTTCATTTTTGGTTGATTTTGGCAGCCCCCTGTGGACAATAGTGATAGTGTTGCTGTAGTGTTGCTGATTCATAAGGATTCAAACAAAGTCGAGGGACTTATTATGCTTTTTTTTTAGTTTCTGTCATATACAATATCTTATGTTGACAAATATATTGTATTTAATAAATGATACAGTGTCAAATAACAAGGTAATCAGTATATTTTTAATCCTATACTTAATCTTTTTTGACTTTTGGAGACTAGCCGACGTCAGCTTGTGATGGATTTCTTTACATGGTCGTCACGCTTACAGGGGCACGCTCGGTCAGTCTAAGTTATCCGACTGCTCTGCCCACGTGTCAAGACCCTTCAAATGCCTGTATGAACGAAGGTATGAATGACAATACATATTTTGTATTTTTTCCTCTGATATTCTGCAGCTTCTTTGCCTCAACTCTTAATAGAATTAACCTGATGGACATTTAATTAATAACAGCTGCTAATGGACTGCAAGCTAGAAGAAAATATTTTACCCCTAAAATATGATCCAGTTTTATCAAAATCAGTGAATGAAGTTGTCAGAAGCTGAACTGAGGGGCTGCATAAGAGGCCAATATAAGATAAATAGGGATGTTTTTAAAGAGTGTGGACTCTCAGACTAAGACAATAGAGCTGTTAATGACCCTAATAGGCCCCCTTTAAGAAAAACTTTATAGAAATAGCCAAGCTTCTCACTGATGGTTGTGTTTGTTTATGTAGGTCATATAGAGACAGTCAGTATGAAACTGAAACTGTTACATAACCAGCTAAAACCTCATTGTAGTACGTTCTATTTTTGATACTTGATTACATTTTAGTTCTAATCATTACATATATTACACATGTATGTCCTCCTCTTCCACCTCCACTGACACTGCCACCAAACTAAGAAGTTTTCTCAACTTGCAGAGAAGCATTCAAGTCTTCAGCTGATCTGAAATCAGTAAAATGGTGCAAAATAAAGCGCCAAAATCATCTACTGAATAGCTTTTAGAATGAGATCTGTTGTTTTAAGTTGTTAAGTTGTTGGCTGTGTGTGCAAACCTGACAAAGTGAGAATCAGTACTGAACTATGTGTTACTGAGGTAAGAGGCCAGAAACTGAGCTAGCATCCTGTCGTGATCTTGAGCTAGCGCTGTGGTTGATGACTCAGTTCCTGAATACTGATACTGAAAGAAATTTACAGGGTAGAAAGACAGAGAGTGTAACAGAGAGAGAGAGAGAGAGAGAGAGAGAGAGACTGAGAGAAAAGGGTGGGTCGAAATGTCGAGAAAAAGAGGGGTGAGAGAGGGAAAGGTTATGGTAGAGAGAAAGAGATTGTTCTAAAGTACCAGAAACATAAAGAGCAGGAGGAAAGATAAAGAGAATGATAAAAACACACTACATGGCCATAATATGTAGGTATATAGTAACATAAACTCCAAAATCATCAACCTGCTACTGCAGCCTTCACTCTTCTGGTTTCGGTATTTCCACCTGATATCAGAACCTGCTGCAGGAATTTCCTCCCATTCAGACACAAGAGCATCAGTGAGGTGATTATGTCTGGCTCACAGTTGGCGCTCCGGTTCATCCCAAAGGTGTTGGATAGGGCTGAGGCCGGAGCTCTGTAACAGCTCCAACTAGAAAAATCTATTTCTTTATGGACCTACGTATATGGACTCCATGTGCACGGGGCATTATGATGCTAAAACTTAAATTATTGAATTCCCCAAACTGATTACAAAAAGAATGCTGTTTTCTAAAATATTATCGTTTGATGCATCAAGGGTGCTAATGGGCCTAGACCATGATTTCTCAAATGATGGGTCGAGATCCAAAAGTGGGTTGAGGAGTGAGAGGTCAAAATTAGTTTTCTTTGAATCGATTTTAAATGCTCTCATGCCTGACTTTTATTTTGATAGATAAGCTTGCACCAATGGCTGTTAATTGTAAACAGCCTGTTTTGTAGGCCTTACTTACTTAGTCAGCAGCATGTAGTTGTTATGTTCATTATTATTAGTAATGTGCTCTGTTGCAGCTATAAAAATATATGAATCTTATCTTGTGTATGATATTGTATATGTGTGTTTACTAGCTATAAGTGAGTGCTTGATGAATGTGTTGATGTGTGTATGCAAGGCATTCAGATCTAACAGCAGCCATGCTGAATGCAGGGATGAAAATATGTGTATATTTTATGTTAAAGAGGTCATGAGCAGTGCCTGAAATGGGCCAGTACTCAGCAGTACTGAGTATCCCCGCACCCACCACTGAAGGTCCGGACCTCAGTATTTTTTCTGAGGAGTATATATCCAATAAAGGACGTAAAATAATTCCTAGAACTACAACAAAGAATTAAGGTTATGTTGTGTGTGGGGTTGTGCTGAATGAGGATACCAGCACTTTTTTTGGTCCAATTCAGGCACTGGTCATGATGATATTGCATATGTTTACTAGCCTATTTGAAAAATAAACTTGATTGTTATGTGTCCACATACCTTTGGCCATATAGTGACAGACAAAAAGAGAGGCAAAAATCAAGTAGCAGGTAGGAGGGGAAGTGATAGAAAGGAGGGGGAGGAAGAGTCAGCGCACAAAGCAGAGCGCTCATACAGAAGAAGTGAGAGTAGAAGCAGAGGAAGAGGCTTGTGGAAAAAGGAACAAAATAAAGAAATAAAAGGAAACTCAACAGCCTCGCCGATGATCCCCGCCATCTTTAAGAACATATTTTGAGAGAGAGAGAGAGAAAAGTAAATTCGTCAGCATGATGAAATTGTGGTGTTGCCTCTGCTTCTTCGGTGAGTTCAGCTCAACTACCAACCTGCTTTCGGCTCAATTTCAAACTTGCTTTTGTAATCATGTGTTGTTTTCCAAAGTGATCCTAAAAAATGGATCTATTGACTCGTAAATAGGAAGTAAATAAGGAACATTTGTGCGCATATCAGGGCTCCCGCGCTCCCTCGCACGCCCAGATTCAGCACTTTCAAGGCTCAAGTTCAGATTGTTTTGACACCATTTGAATCAGACACTGCAGAAGCCTCGTGGCGTCACTCCTGAATCGTGAAGATTCAAGAAGTTCTTGTGAAATCTCTAACCGAGCTGCTTCCACAGCCATCCATTTATTTACTAAAACTTTCACAGCTTTGATTTAGTCTTAAATCTACACTTGAGTGTCATTTGATGACTTTAGGGTTCATTTAAGGACTCAGGAACACTTGCAGTGATATGCAGGAAGTAATATGGAGCTCGCAAATGTTGCAGGATAGGAGAATAATGTAAATAATACATTTTCAGATAGAAATCTACAGCTTGTAATAAATTAAGTGTGCACTGTTTATTCTAAATTAATTAATTCACCTCTGAGCGGGACTTTTCTCATCAGCACAGCTTTTATATTTAAAAAAAAAAAAAGTATATTAAAAATATTTACATTTTTTAGGAATTATTCTGCGCTATTCTACACTAAATGTATAAAATAATGCAGATTTTGCACAATTGATTGACTTAATGTATTCAAAAGGAAACTAAAAACATGTCTTATTACTTTATATTTCAATTTATGGGGGAATCAAGCAATGTCTGATTTGTTAAACCACAGAAAATATGAAACAGTGTGTAGATATTAAGTACTTTGCCTGCTGGTATATATATAATATTTCAAATATGGGACATAGAACATTCATGTATTACATATTAAAATATAAAATAAATCACATGATGTCAATAGAGGATTAAGGTTCAGTTTCCAGATCACCAACATTACAAGCAACCTACAGTACAGAGGTCAAATGTCAGAGGAGACAGTAGATATTAAGTGTGTACATGTGCACCAATCAGCCATAACATTATGACCACCTGGGCACCCTGGTGGTCATAATGTTCTGCAGCCCCACCTCGAAAAACTGTGATGCACTGTGTGTTCTGACACCTTTCTATCAGAACCAGCATTAACTGTTTCAGAATCTGTTGGATCGAACCACACAGGCCAGCCTTTGCACAGGCATCCATTAGCCTTGGCCATCCGTGGCCCTGTCTCTCTAACGTCTACGCTCTCATTTTCACACCAGCGTTTGTTTTGTTTTTTTTTCACACATATGAAAACTTGTTGCAGCAGCAGTTCTGTGAAGTTAAACGGAGACGCAGCAGTCAAGAGATATACTTGTGAACTATAATAGAGTATATGTGCAGTTTCTAGCGCCACATGTTCTCAATTGTTCCGCCTGATTAGACCTGTTCCCATGACTACCTTCCACTCTTATACAGTACATGGAGTTTGGTAGAATTGCATATTAATTTCACTCTCTCTTTCTGTCTCAGTTCTAGCAATTTCTTCTCTTTCCAGAGGAGAAAATAGTACTACTTCTGAAACTCCTAAAGTGGGAAATACAGGTACAGTGACAGACTTGATTAACAAGTGATTTATTGTGGATGTGTTGCAATATTCTGCACTGTACTGCACTGCAGTGGTTCCCAAACTTTACGAAACCAGCAATAGCAGGCTGACTGTGAAGGTCAGCCATTGACAGAATACAGTAATTATTACTGCTAACCTCAAACACTTATATACAAGGAAGTGTTTTTGTGTTACTATGACAACCTAAAACCACAAACTGTCATCACCAGTCTCTGCTGTGCATGTTCGGCAGTGTTTCTGACATTAATTTTTATGTTTTGTTGTATGTTTTTGACACACATGTGCGCTTTAGTTAATGCAAATGGTGCCTTGTTTTTTTATTTAACTCTATTAAAATAAAATAAATAAATCTTAAGGCAGCCTTTGCTTGTTCTTGAGCCACTTCAGGGAACCACTTCTGTACTGTACTATTCTGTTGCATATTGTCATTTCTTGTCCTGTCTTTTCCTCTAGTGTCCTGTCCTGTACTGCCATATACTATCCTGGTCCATACTGTAATATCCTGTACTGTCAAATGCTGTCCTGTCCTGTTCTTTACTGTTGCATGTTGTAATTTATTGTCCAATTCTGTCTTGTCCTGTCCTCTCCTACTCTATATTGTAGGGTCCTGTTCTGTCTGGTAGTGTCCCATCCTGTCTTATACTGTAGTGTCCTATATATTAGTTACCTGTCCTGTACTGTCCTGTCTTGTTGTACATTGTAGGATCTTGTCCCGTCCTGTTATATACTGTAGTGTTCTGTCCTGTTCTATAATGTACGGTTTAATCTGCTATGTTAGTCTGAAGTAATGTTGGCCTGTGCCATGTATTATTTCTCTGGTGCTGTTACATCCAAACCTCTTCTGTGTGTCTCCTCGCACAGATCCCTCTGCCGCTTTACATGAGACGCCACCTCCACATCCGGCGGATGAAACTCAGAGTGAAGCTCTTCTTTCCACGTCGCCCTCCCCTTCTCTTCAGAATCTTACATCATCAGATGTAACAGATCTGCTGCCAAATGCCACTACGGTAACAGCTGCTGCCAACCTGAGACAATTATCTTTGTACCTTTGTAGCATGTGACCATGAGCATCAAACAACTTCTTTGCCTTACGAAACTATAAATCCAGCTTCAAAATGAACGATCATGAATGAAAAAATACTGGTAGCTAATTTCTCATTCTTGAAAAGGCCACACCAAACCACAAGTAACCATTATTTTACATAAAAAACCAAGTTCCAACCAAGGTTCAACCAAGTGAACGTGTTATGACGTCACCCATTGGTTTGTGGAGTACCGTTTTGAAACCTCGCGTTTGGGCCAAGGTTATTTAAATCAGAAACTGTCCGCCAGTCAGTCTTAAAATTCAGTCAGTTTAATTGAGACAGAGAAGATTAGAAAACTAACTAAATGTTGGGATCTAAATGATGTAAAACTTTCAAATTCAAGATGTGATCTCCATCGGATGTCTTTTACAGACTCAAGAAGAGGGTGTTATTCCTTATGATGATGGTAATGACACTGACACAAAGAAGAACGTCAGTGGCAGCCCTGCAGTACAGTCGACAACCACAGTTGCCGGGAAGGACGATGAAAATGGTGTTAAGATGACTCCGTCTATGGCAATGACCATTATCACAACAGACCCAGGTACCACACTGATGTGAATGCAAAAAGCATATATGTGAGTCGTGTGCCTCAGTTTGTCTTCCTGTGTGTCAAACCACAACTATCACGTGCTCATATTCTTGTTAACTGCTCGCCAGCTGCCACACAAACACACACTCAAACCACGCACACTCAAATGTTCAGACACAATGGCAGATATGTCACTTTAGTTCATACAGAGTGCTACCAGGTACACCAACACACATAGCTTTTCTAAATGTTGGATTATTATGATCAGAGCTAAAATGAGCAACTTTTTTGGTATTTGACATCTTTCACGACTACTTTTTGTTGGACACACAATTAACTATATCGGACATATATGTTCACTATATCCTGACATAAGTAACTCTTAATGGCATTTGATTTTCCACTGTGTCTTTTATTCAAAATATTTACTTTTATATATTTTTGGGGCATTTCTTAGATAGTCTTCGATATCTTTATAAACTAGATGAGACAGTATAGTAGATTCTATAATGTTTTTTTCTGCTTTGAAAAGAGAATTAAGCTTTGTTTGGTGTAAGAATCCAATCTTAATGTTAATCAGTGTTTTGTGTGCAAGGGGATTTTTATTGCATGTCATACAACATGTATCTCTGGTGTCTCCTGTCTGTCTATTACCTACAGCCTTAGAGAGCAACTTTTTCCTTTATAGTAATGGTATGGATACAGACACGAAACATGGGGAGAAAGGGGCAACTACACCAGTAGGAAACAAAGCGGGTGCATTGTGGTTGACTGTATGTGTCTTAAACACAATGACAGTGCCAGTCAGTCTGTAATATGTCTGTTTAACATTCATTCATTCATTTAATCTGTTAAGTGATGAGGGTTTGGGAGTTTTATATTACAGTGATATTAGACACCTACATCTGGAGATGTTCTTGGTGCTGTTCTCCACTAGGGGGCAATATTGTATTTTAGTTTGAACTGAATTACTGAGCTGAGTATTGATCAATAACCATCTGCCTGTCTCTTTTAGATGACATTGAAAGCAAGGGTCATTCATCCTGGGGTAAGGATGCTGAACTGTTTTTCTTGTATTATTTATGAGGCCAAACTAGCATGCTCTATTCTATTTTATTTTATTTTATTCTCTATTCTATTCTTGTCATTGTTTTTTAATCTATCTACATATACTTCCTATTAACTGATTATACAAGTGATGCAAATGAGCCCCCAAATACTACTACTACTACTACTACTGCTAACAAAACTGAATTGTCTCTCTCTGCCTCTCTGTCTCCAGCTTATGTGATCCTGGTATTTATTATCCTGGTGATCATTGTTCTGATCATTATTCTCTACATGCTCAGGAAAGTCTCCAGGGTAAGAGCCTGAGATTTAGAGAGATATTTTTTTTGTGTAATTTTCTTTGAAACACATATTTTATACTCATTGGAATATATTAGAGTTAAAGACGTTTACTTATGCTCTTATGTTGCTTTTTTTTGTTATTACTGACTTGCTCTTTTCATTGTTTGTCCAGTCGTACTCGTTTGACCTCCAGCGTCCGGTTCACAGCAACCATCACGATGAACCCACCGGAACCTTTGAGCCCGTCTACCTGGATGACCTGGGTGTGTGTGGTTATATTGAAATTACTGCAACATCACTTTGCATGAGCATATCATGACGTGTGTGCTTTGGTTTGTATCTCAGATCGACCAACCCCTAAAGACCAAGTGACCACCGATGACCTTTCACCTCCTCCAGTAGCCAATGGCACAACTCTACAGTCAGAGGAAAAGGGCTCCAATGGAGACAATGGTACAACATCAGACGCAATTCTTTGTTGTTTAACACTGTGAAGTCAACAGCATTTGACAGCAAACCATGAATTGAAGGCAAGGAGAGATTTGACCAAACCTTTAGATAGCTTTGAATTCAACCACTAGCAGAACTTTAATCCATCAAGAGCTGATGAGTCATGTTAAACCTACTACAAGGAGTTTTTATGGTTATGAAACTAAATATAATACCGATACCTCTATATGTTTCTTGTAGCTGCTTTAATAAATTAGGTCAGATATATAAAGCAAAAAACAAAGGGGTTACTAACATGTGTAGTCCATATAAAAACACAGCCACAAGTTAAAGGTCAAGTGGGTAGGATTCAGTGGCATCTGAATGACAATGAATGACAGTAAAAACGGTTGTAGAGTCAGATTATTTTCACATCTAACTGCAGTGAATTAAAGGTTTATTTTAGCTGGTTCGGTCTAGTATGGTTGTATTTTTCAGTTAAATGAGGAAAGGTAATAGAGGTAATGAGAAAACGAGGTGTTTTTATACACTTTCTTTTCCTTTCTTGACATTTTGTGAGTTTATTTAGTTTGTTAAGGCTATGCAAGCTTGTAGCACATAGTAAACTCACCACTCATCTCCCAGCTCCAAGCTTTTATTTCCAATTCATCAAGTCGATGTCTTTACCCTAACAATGCTGTAGTCAGAAAACACTGCACCTCATCTTACCTTTCTTCTTCTGTGTCTCTTACTCCAGCTACACAGGAACAGCCAGACGCAAATGGTCCTGAGACTACAGTCACCATTGACACCAGTCCCTCACCGGGTGACGAGTTAGCTGACAAGACATCCAGCCCTTTGAGCGACACCGACCTGTTCTTCGACGCTATTGGGGAGGAGCAGCAGAACGAAAACAACAACAACCCATGTAAGATACTTTATACAGAGACAAACACAGAATATTAAAATCATCACATCTTAAAGGGGATCTCTACTGATTTAGTCCTGCCATAAAGCTGCAGGCCTTGCAAAAAATGCAACATGCAATTGCTATAATGTGACTGAATAGTGTCTTTCTTTTTAGTCTGTAAATGCCAGTAAATACTCACATCATTCATGCCCCCAGTTTAGTCATACTTTCTATGATGAGTAAACTGTATTTCATGTGTTGGTTGGTGGAGCCCTTCTTTAAAGGAAAGATGCCTGGAAGGTGGCATGGAAAAAAAAAAAACACCTGTGCACAGATGAATCATTCATGCTCTCAAATGAATAAGTTGCATACAGAAATTAAACACATAGACACATAGATTTAGGATATGCGAAATTCATGTATTTTTACCAATCTTGGTGCTATCTCTAATCAAAAGTGCATTAAACTGCATTGGGTTGTTCTGCATTAGATTTAAAACTTTCTTAAACCTTTAAATGTTAATCAAGCTAATGTTACACAGTGGCATTTGTGCAGCTGATAGCAGCCAGTGTTGATGAAACAACATCCGATCACAACTATTAAAAGACACATGGACACATATAAATGTGACAATGTAATGATATAAATATGAAGATGTTCTTACCTGTAAATTAGCATTTTTGCATGTTGGTATTGCTACTTTTAGGACTTTTTCTACTGGTTAATTAATTGATTTAAAAAAGTTAGAAAGGAAATAATATCTAAAATCTCTTCTCTCTCCTTTCCTCAGCGGTTTGCTCCAGTGACCCGTTTGTGGAAATCAACCTTGATGACCCAGCGTGGTGCGATCAGTTCCTCACCTCTCCTGAAGCTCCTTCTTCAGTCCTCCCCTTCTCTCCTTTCTCCTTCTCCTCCTCCTCCTCTTCTTCTTAACACCTTCACCGGTGACCCCTCAGCTCAACATGGAGGCAACAACAACTGTCTTTAAAATATCTACAAAGATTTAGATCTTTTTATTCCCATTCTGCTCACAGCTGGCGGGGATTACTCTGTAGATATCAGTATACAAGTCTCAACCAACATGCTGTAAATTTGTTGTGGTGCATTCAGACTGCAGCAACAAAACACATTGACAGTATATCCGTAGTTTAAACAATAATCAGTTTAGTTCATCTGAACTAACTGTTAGCTAACTATTCAGTAGTGTCTTCAAATTGAATGAGCAGCCTGCAACTTTTGATGGAGCTATATTATCAGCACTGTTTCTCAAACTACAAAAATATTTTGCAAGCAAGATATTAAATTGATCTGTATGTCTGTGGTCTGACAAAATAATGTTTTAACTGCACAATTATAGAGCCACAGTAACTGTAAATATGTTATCTAGTATAGAAGATGGGCGAGCGAGTTCAGTAGTCTTCAAATTCTGTAAAAAAATATACATTTTAAATCAGAATTATTTTTTTCTTTGTATTATACTAGACACTGAAATGCTTTTAGGACATTTGCATGATTTTCAGTATTTGTTTTCACTGACACTTTTTTTATGAATAGATTTTTTGTAGAAAATAATGAAAGAGAAATAAATAAAAAATATTTTTCACTGCTGTCATTTTGCTTTTTGTAGGAAACATTTTGTACCGTGAGATAAAAATATGTAACTTACTGATTTTGTGGTTCAGTATTCAGTTAAAAAAGTAAAACAAAAAAAAAAAAGTCCAGTTTGTTGCTTTTGTACCTTCAGTAATACTTTACAACATATAGCTGAATATGTACATTTTAAAAGTCTAATATTTCGGGGTCTTATTCTAAAATGGTTACACAGTCAAACAGTGAGAACTGCTTTTTATAAATATATTTAATGAACCGGATAAACAACAATAGAAAGCTTTAAAAATCAATCAATACATCAATTCAAACGACATTAATGACAAGTGACAATTATTCGAGATTGTAAAAATATACACATTTTATTTATTGCAAAAGTGGGAGTTCACTTTATGTTCCTTCTAGATTGCATGTCTGAACAAACAATCTGTTAACCGTTGTAATTTGTTCTTTAACTGCAGGAAATATTCCATCAGCCAATAATATCTGAGGTATTAACAGTATTAACAAACTGAATACAAATGTAAAAACTTCATACCAGTGAGGTGATCCCACACATTCAAGTACTGGTCAACAAAGCCACAGTAACATTTAAAAATGTTACACACACATTATTGACTATTAATATAAAAAAAGCAAATATTCTGTTTTCACATTAGAACGTATACTGACATACAGAGTTACATTGGGGAGCATCACAAGCTTCCCATTAAAACTTCATTGAAAAATGCAAACATTGCTAAAAAGTCCAGTGTGTAACATTTAGGAGGATCTAATGGCACAAATGCGATATAATATTCATAGGTATGTTTTCGTTAGAGTATAATCACCTGAATACAGGAATTGTTGTGTTGTCATTTCCTTAGAATGCAAAATTTTTTAACTACAGACGGCACAGAAAACAGACACAAACGCTGGCTTTATATTGAGGTTTCTCACGGCCACCGTAGTTTCTCCCTCACCCTTTTTAAAGGGAGGGTGAAGCGAGTGAGTTGCAATCTGCTAAATTGAGAGGGTGTACTTACATCTAGGATGGCATGAGTGCGTCTCATTAGATTCTTGACTTTCTTCAGCAGCTAGCCACTGACTATAATGGTCTGTCATGTGTTATGTAGGCAGTGTACATTGGGTTACTCAAAACTGGTTTTCTGAAAACAGAGGTCCAGCTGCCAGCCACTTCAAAGCCAACACTGCAGTGGGAATGCGATGAGAAGAGAGGTGAGATTCTTCTTTGAGCAGCATCAGTCCGTGTACTGAGTTGTGGAGCAGACGAGTCTAGATTGGTACAGCTCAGTACCATCAGTCTGGACTTGATCTGTATTATTGACAGAATTAAGAATTGTCACATACAAATCCAAACACACATAAAACAGTTGCATTCAAAAATGGACAGCGAACATACCTTTTTTCATTGTTGATTTGTTTTGTTTACTACTACTACTACTACTACTACAACAACTGGTACTCCTACTACCCCTAACGCTATTGCAACTACTACTGCTATAGATGTTAGATATCCATTTGGGCCCACTGGTGGCTGTGTTGTACCTGTTGGAAGAAACACATTTTATATCTCATACATCAACTCAGCAGAGGTGGACCACCACAGCAAGAACTTTTACACCAATTCACCAAATGTAGAAAATTAGAACAATTGAACCAAATTCCAAATATGGCAATGCAAAACAATAAATAAAATCCTCATCAGGTGTTTTTGCAGCAGTCAGCAAGCAGTCACAGAGGGTGCTGAGCTGCCTGACTTAAAAACAAACTATTTTTTATCCACTGAATAAAAATAAATACTATTTCACAGTGTATTCATATTTAGCTATCCAGCCTTTTTATGAAAAGTTATGAAACACAAACGTGTGGAATTAAATTGAATTAACTTATTTAAATTTGTCCTTATTGAAACTGTACACATGTCCAGCTCCAGGCAGCACTAATTTCAGTGTCAAAGTTGCATTGTTGATATGGTACAGTACTTAACGTGATACATTTTCTTAGATTACACGCTACAGAAATACATTTTGTTTTTATTATAACAAACTGGACTAATAACTGGACTGGATATTTCTACATTGTTAGATATTCACCAGGTTGGCTCACCTTCAGCAGCTGCAGGTCCAGATGTTGGTGTGGGGAGGGGCCACTCCAAGGTAAAACATCCTATGGGGGAAATCTGTGTGTTAACATTTACGTGTTTCCTTTGAATTAAAGAATTTAATGAAATGAAGCTAATCAGAAAATTTCAAGACAACTTACCAGAGTCTAGGATTTCATCTCTTTTATCAAAATATTTGCATGTGTAGTTTCCCACATCATCATTACGGAAATCTGACAGCATAATCTTCATTATGTCTTCGCTTATGTTATAAGTAACTCGCCCCTCAAACTGCTGATCTTCTTGGTCACTGAAACGTGTGCTCAGAAGAACCTTGTTGGTATCGGAATGGAAAATGCAATCACATTTGGGTTCGGACTTGTCGGATATGTTGCCAATGTCCACCATTATTTCCATGAGACCGTTGTTTAGATCGGTGGTCACTTTCATAAAAGATGCCACTGTAAAGGAAAGAGAGGGAGAAAACAATGTCGTACGTGCTTTTGCTAAAGCATTTAATTCAAAACTATATGTCCTTTTTTTTGTTTTGTTTTCTTGACACACAAACAACAAATAAGTAGCTCTTTCCACATGCCAACTGCACACAGATGTATAAAAGTATTATTGTCCAGAGTCTTTGGCATCTATTTTCTTTTGTAGCATGCTCTAAGTAAATGCAATGTATTTTTAGCAAACAACATACCAAGAAACATTCATGGTGGCTTCAAATTAAGATCATAATCTGGAATTGTAAACTAACCAGAGGCACAGGAATGTAAGATTATGATCAGGATTCTCCAACTCATCACCTGTGAGAGGAAACAGAGATGAAGAGTCATGTGAAAACGTATGGAGCTATTTGTGTGGCTAATCATTGATTATTTTCTTTAAATATGGGAGAATCTAGAAGCCTTTACCAAAAACACTAGTTCTGAACCGTAAACATCCCAAAAGTCCTTTTACTTCAACAGCTTCCTCCATCTCCTCCGGCAGGGTGACTGAGGATGTCTCAGGGTCTCCTCAGCCAGTCGTACCCATAACTTATTGCTCTCTGTTGATACCAAAGTCTTTTTAAATCTATGACATGGAACAGGATTGACTTACAAACTATTGGTGATGTCACAAATCATGCTCGTAGGCTCCGCCCCTTAAGATCAGATTTCTAAGGAGCACAGAAAATACAGAAACTATCCAATTTCAGCGGCATGAATGTGAAAACGTCCTTCTGGTGTCAAACTCTGCACGTACCTCATTCTGCACAGGGATGATCAAACATCCAACTGTAGGAACAAGAAGAACAACTTTTTTTTTAGGAGGGGGACTTCAAATAAACCTGCAGAGACATGTGCAGTATGTACTAGGATAGGCTGCAGCCTTTTTAAATGATAACTTAAAAAGATGTCAGAACAATGACAGCATTGCTAGTTGTACCGATAAGGACTTTTGTTGTTGTTGTTGTTGTTATTAAAATAAGTTCAATGACAACACCCCCCTCTTTCTCTGCCTTGCTTCACCAATGTGCCCTTATCTGCACCCTTGATTTATCCACTCTCTCTATCTTTTTACTTAGTTCTACATTTTCCTGTCCTTGTTCCACAATCCTCCAGCCCTCGACTTCTGAATGAACGGAGGTCTGCCAAAACACAGCGAGGAGGCCCGAGGCTCCAGCGTACTGTCACTTTTTTATGTTGGGTTCAATGATTCTTGAGCGACACTGAAACTCAGCTGATTGACTTTACTGCTTTTCTCTCTACGCTCCTCTGCTCTCCAGCAAAAACTGCATTCCACAACGACGGGCCCTACTTGGTCTTTGATTGGCTGGTTGGCTGATGATGAGATGAGGAATGTAGTTTTTTGGCTTTTAATGCCAAGTCTACATTGTATGTATGCATCCCTGCTAGAACCTCTGTGCTCTGAGCAGTCTCGCAACACTGACATACTCAGTTTCACAATCCTAACAGCTTTACAATACTAACGTGCTGATGTTTAGCAGGTTTAATGTTAACTTCTTCACTATAATAGTTCAGCATGCTGTCATTTGCTGATTTGCACCAAACAGAACGTACAGCTTAGGCTGAAGTGAATGACTCGAAGAGGAAGTCTAAGCCTAAATTCGGGCGCAAAGTCTACAATCAGTACGAAACTCTTATTGACGTTACACAAATAATACCAACAATTGATAAAAAAAATTTTTTTGGGTAAACTAAAATTGTACTTACAGTTGTATCCAAACCTGAACAAGGAGGTAACCTTTCTTTTTACTTTCTGTCTTTACATATTTATACTGTACCAAGCAACGCCCATATCTGACGAAAAGACACATGACAAGGAAGAGCAAAAACTGGAAAACCTGAATAGGACTCCTATTGATAAAGATTAGGTAATCCAAGGTGAGGGCAGCTTGTTTAAACATGCACATACATACACATACAACTATGTATGTATGCTGTATGAATTCTGTTCACAATGCTACTACTCTCAGTTCATGTTTCATCTTGCTACTGAGCTGCTGATTGAACATGCCCACCTTCCTCCAGTCCCTTTAAACATACATTGACTGTCAGCTGGCACAGCTGTATATTAGCTATATATTTTCCATTTCAATGTTGCAAATCATTTCAAGGAAAGATAGATAATATATATATATTCAAAGTATTTTTGGGGACCACGTCTCAAGCACTTCTTAGTTCATGTGCGAGAAATCGGTTGAAACACATCTTAGCATAATATAAAATAAAATAAAATAAAATATATATAAAAAAGTAGAATAACGTAAACCTGTATATATCTGTACATCTGCAATGTTTCTGAATTATTGTGCAAAAAAAGAGTTGTGTTTGACAGGTTAAGGGTCTCAGTCAGCGGAGGTAGGACGTACTGATGGCTCCCAAACATTTCCCACAGGCATCAGGTTGGATTACTCAATATGTATCATTACATACATATGTATAAAGGTATACCTAACAAAAGGTATAAAGCTATGATACTGTGACTGATATGTGTTTTTTAACATCATTTGTAAGATTGTTTTTAATTTTTTTAAAGAATATTTTTATATTGTTGTTACAATTGTTCCTTTTTATTGTTTAATCTCCTTCTTATGGCCTCTTTATTGGTCCTGTTGTGATGTGTATCACTTATGGTGGTGGTATGTGTGTTGTCTTGCTTGAACTTGATAGTTTGTTTTTCATATTTACTTGACAACTTGCACATAACAACAGTTCAGTGCTACCCGCATGGCTACATACCACATGTGGCAGACGGGGCTCCTGCACATGCTCCTTACTACTGTGGCATGCTGGGTAATGGAGTCCTTAACCTAGTGTACTCATAACATCACAGTATGGTTATTATATTAAAGGCTATACAGGCCGATGAGCCACACTGACTCTTTGAATATGTGTTAGCGTTTCTACTGTACTGGCAGTTATTCTTCATATTCTGTCTGCTGTGACCTGTCTGGACCGGTCTCTCGCTCAAAGATCACCAACTTTCACACGCCATGGTGAAGAGAACAAAAAGGTCCAAAATTCAGCAACCAATACATAGATCAGTGTTTCTGTGTGTGTCAGGGCATGTTTTCACCTTTCCTTTCCCAACGCTGTTTGACATTGTGTGCAACTCACTTTTAACTTTAAAGACACAGAATATATAATATAATATATAATAATATATAATTATATATATATATATATATATATATATATATATATATATATATATATAAAAATATATATATATAAAATAACTACATAATGATGATAAAAGATGGTTTTTAATTGCACATTCTGACAGCGTTGATGCTTTTACTCTCTTATTCCAACACTGCAGCTCAGAATAACATGAGGCAACTTTATGATGATAATTAAAAATAAAAAAATTAATCCCCCTCTTTTTCTTTTGGAATTAAAATAGCTAAAATATTATAACAATAATAATAGGAACGACAGCCATCAAATAATATTAGTTGAGTAAAAAGAATATTATTTCCCTCTGAAATGTAGCGTTGAAGAGGTAAAACAGAACATGAAGATACTAAAAGTTATCCTTTAGTAGCAAAACCTTGATTTGTCCAACTTGGATGCCCCTATGATAGTTAAAACATGATAAAATACCCTCCAGTAGAGAAACATAATGCAGTGCTGACTGAGTCTGCTGGTTGTGATGCACATGTCGGCACGATGGTATTGTTTGAAGATAGATAATGAAAAATGTGAAGCCATCCTTTAAGAAAAGGACTCAGCTAGAGCAGTGGAAGCTTCATGCAGGCAAACAAAGCTTACAGAGCAGTAAGAACATAAGCACATGGAAGCAAAGTCCAACTTCTACAGGTTTAATAAATATAATATAATATAATGAAAGGGTATAAACAAACATAATTATAATGACAAACCATATTCATAAAGTGCTACACACTGTCAGAAATAATTCAAAAGCAGAAATAACAAAAACATGTAGTTCATACAAAAATACAAACTTCATACACAAGCCCCACCTTTACAAACATTTCCACTTTATGCTAATTCAATGCTCTTAAAAAGGCAGTTTTTCCTTACCCCTGTCGCCAAGTGCTTGCTCATGGTGGTACTGTTGGGTCTCTGTAATTAATGTTATAAGGAGTTCGGTCTAGACCTGCTCTATTTGAAAAGTGTCCTGAGATAACTTCTGTTATGAATTGGCGCTATACAAATAAAATGAATTGAATTGAAAATGCTGTTTTTGCATGCAGTGTAAATGTGTTATTTTTGCCTATTGGAATATTTCTGCATACTGTAACACTGAAACAGTATCGGAACTGCAGAAATTGGGACTCTGTTGGATTCAATGAGCCAAACTGTATTCATGTGTGATGATGTTTGTCCCCATAGAAGTCATTTCATTGATATCATTTCTTTAAACTTGATGACCTAATGTGACGTCTATGATAATGATAATACAGCCTCATCAAATTGTACAGCCACAAACTACAGGCCGAGGCAAAAGGGTGGATGGCATTTCTACCATATTTCAGTGGAGAGACTGTAGGCTACACCGAGGTAGAAAGTAGTTGACATGAAAAAGTTCTCTAGTGTCCACCTGGTTCGAAACTCATTTTGGCAAAACTGGTCTAACTTTATTTTTCATTATAAGACTATAACTAAGGCTGAGTCCTTATTGCAGCAGTCATAGGTTCGACCTCTGACTTGTGCTGTGTGTCATCCCCTCTCTCCCTCCTCTCTCTCCCCTCTTTCCTGTCACAACAAAAGTAAAATAAAATATTTAAAAAACAAAAGAAAACAAAACAACGTTGCTTCATTCTTGCAGTCTGGACCCAGATTGTATCCAATGAAGTCAGCCGTGCAGCAAAATGTCCATTCACATCTGTGGCAGTTTGGGATCGGGGGTGTCACTTGTTTAGCTGAATAAGCTCAAGTCAAATCTGCTTCTCTTACTTCTTCTCTTGACCTTCATTCAAGTTCCACCATCTCCATCTGTATGATTCACATGAGGCAACTATGAGTGCAGATTAAGGATTTACACATACAAATTAAAGTACACACAGATTTTCCATTAAAACGGATGTAAAGGTAAAGTAGAAATACCTTGGATAGGCTACAGCTACAATAAATATAGGAAGTAAGAATGAGAAAATTGCAACTTCCCAACCGCGTCCATCTCTGGATCCCAGCTTTGGACCTCTTCGTAGGTGTTTTGCACCTGCATGAAAATAATGCACACGAGTTTGTATCAGCCGCATTATCTAAATGACAAAAATACTGCTGTTTACTCTCTTGATAAAAAATATATACAATTATAAAACAGATCGCTCAGATTATGGGATCTGATTGGTTCTTAATTGTAGCATGTATATAACAGCTATGACATCTTTAGTCAGTGATATATTCACAACATATCACCGACTCTCCTGAGCTACTGTAATGTAAAGTAATGTCGTCTTCTCATAGGATGTTGCAACTAGTAACCTGCAATAAAGTGCTGGGCAGATGCAGCCTTATGAAACTTTGCTGCTTTCTTTCTGTTTGTGACGAAACAAGAGCAAGAAATGACAGAAAGTGGTCATGTGATGGTTTGCAAAAAACATGACATGACGCATGAAACACCATAACCAGAAATCGATCTATTTTGGCGTACTTTAAAAACATGGGGACACAGTAGCCATTTCATTTAGACCATTTTTTGAAACTTAGCGTGACTGGTGACCTCTAGGGCAATCACAACAAGTCACACAAGAATCCCACACTTTGTTTTCCTTAAGAAATGAAAATAAATAGGAAATCTTACACCATTCTTCATGAAACAGTAAAACCACAAACTAGAGTCCGAGGGCATTCAGAGGATAGATGGAGAAACTGTATGCTGAGACCAAAAGGTAGTTGACATGAAACAGTTCATTAGCGTGTTACATCATCTTCAAGCTGAACGTCCGCCCACTTTGAAACTCATTCTGGCACTACATGTATTACTTTTAAATGGGTAACCCTGGCAACAGTTCACCTGTGTGAGTGGAGGTCTCAGCCTTTACCTACCTTTATGAATTTCCGGTCTGGTCTTCACGGTGGTTATATTCAAAACAAATGTTTCTGTGGGGGAAATTTCTATTAGTATTTCAATAGTAAATAATTCATCGCTGTTTTTACCTTTTAATCAAAGAACAATACAATTTCTACTGTCAGTTTACCTTTTGCCATGGTCTTGCCAAAAGCTGTGGTTAGTTTACACCAGTAATTTCCAGCGTCATCAGTGGTGACTGTGGACAGATTAAGTTTGATCTGACCTTCTCTGAGGGCGTCTTTGTCACATTGCACCCGTCCTACAAACTGTTCATGCAGAGATTCTGGGACCTCGACACCGTTTCGGATACGGAATATAACCTTATTAACCACTGACTGGAAAACACAAATCAGGTTGGTGCGAGACATATTTGTTCTGATCTGACTGTCCCATGTAATTGTGACATTATCGTTCTTTGCTGCGTGATAGAAGGTTGAAGCCCGCCTCGCATCGACCACCACTGTAGAGGAGAGAGATGAAGATAAACAATCACAAGGAATGATCAAAAGGGGAAAGAGAGAGACACAAGAGACACTCTGTACAAATATACGTGTAATAAAGAACATTACGTTTGATCTGATCCCCACAAAGAGAGAAATGTAGTTAAAAAATGTAAAATGAAACTAACCGCAGACACTGGTGATCAACACAGCCCAGCGGAGCATCTTCACCCTAAGAGTTTGATTGGAACAAGAAGATTTAGATTTCATTAGCACAGAACAGATCAGGTCACTTTGATCCCAAATGTATGATTGTAAAGTTTGCTGACTATTAAAAGATATAAGTTAAAAAGTCACATCTTGGTGTAATGTCTCTACCAGTTATTCTACCAATGACAGTTTCTTTCATGCAACAGTATTAAATCTTTCATCAGACAGTGAGCTCATTAGACTTTTTGTTAATGCCACATGACATGTATGTGACATGTTACCGCTGACATGTTTTAATCTGAAAGCAAGGGAGAAAAATAGGAAACGAGAGTTAGTGAACTATTTTAAATTTCAATTCTGCATATTGTAAAATTTCATAGACTTCCATTGTACTGTTCTTTTCACAATTCTTGAAAAAGCAAGAAAAAGGACAAGATAAGATACACAACTCACTGGAGTAACTATATATATATTTTTAGGTATTAAATTAATTGTTACCATCCATTCACATTAAACGGTCACACTGAAGGAATAATCAGCTTTTTTATACTATAATGAAATTCTTACTTGAAAAAACACCGATATCCAACTCTGTGTTGATCATAGAATGTCAATATTTAATATGTAGATTATATTTACATTGCAAATACCACTGCTGATAAACACAATAAAACACAAGACTCTAAGCAAACTAAAAGGAATTTGTTTTTACTTACTTTTGAGACGAAACAAGGTGAAAATTGATCAACGCAGTTCTCAGAAATGGAGGAAGTATGCATCTATTTATACTCATGACACCAAACAGAAGGAGTTTGAAACATACCGCCTATTACCACTGAGGTTCTTTATTTACCAATGTGCCCTTATCTGCACCCTTGATTTACCCACTCTCTCCGTCTTTGGGTGCTGGTTCCACCGTCCCCCAGCCCTCGACTTTTAAATGAACGGAGGTCTGAAACTCAGCTGATCGACTTCACTGCTTTTTATCTCTACGCTCCTCTGCTCTCCTTCCTTATCTTTCTGGTTGAAGGCAAAAACTGCTTTTAATGCCAAAACTACATTCGTCAAATGTTAGGCCTCATTAACAAAACAGTTCAGCCCTGCTAGCAGCTATGCTAACAGTCGCACAAAGTCTACAATCAGTACGAAACTCTTATTGACGTTACACAAATAATACCAACAATTGATAAAAAAATATTTTTTGGGTAAACTAAAATTGTACTTACAGTTGTATCCAAACCTGAACCTGAACAAGGAGGTAACCTTTCCTTTTACTTTCTGTCTTTACTTTATTTATACTGTACCAAGCAACGCCCATATCTGAAGAAAAGACACATGACAGGGAAGATCAAATGCAAACCTGAATAGGACTCTTACTGATAAAGATTAGGTAGTCCAAGGTGAGGGCAGCTTGTTTAAATATGCACATACATACACATACAACTATGTATGTATGCTGTATGAATTCTGTTCACAATGCTACTACTCTCAGTTCATGTTTCATCTTGCTACTGAGCTGCTGATTGAACATGCCCACCTTCCTCCAGTCCCTTAAACATACATTGACTGTCAGCTGGCACAGCTGTATATTAGCTATATATTTTCCATTTCAATGTTGCAAATCATTTCAAGGAAAGATAGATAATTTATATATTTATATATTTATTTATATATATAAATTCAAAGTATTTTTGGGGGCCACTTCTCAAGCACTTCTTAGTTCATGTGCGAGAAATCGGTTGAAACACATCTTAGCATAATATAAAATAAAATAAAATAAAATATATATACAAAAGTAGAATAAGGTAAACCTGTATATATCTGTACATCTGCAATGTTTCTGAATTATTGTGCAAAAAAGAGTTGTGTTTGACAGGTTAAGGGTCTCAGTCAGCGGAGGTAGGACGTACTGATGGCTCCCAAACACTTCCCACAGGCATCAGGTTGGATTACTCAATATGTATCATTACATACATATGTATAAAGGTATACCTAACAAAAGGTATAAAGCTATGATACTGTAACTGATATGTGTTTTTTAACATCATTTGTAACATTGTTTTTCATTTTTTTAAAGAATATTTTTATATTGTTGTTACAATTGTTCCTTTTTATTGTTTAATCTCCTTCTTATGGCCTCTTTATTGGTCCTGTTGTGATGTATATCACTTATGGTGGTGGTATGTGTGTTGTTTTGCTTGAACTTGATAGCTGGTTTTTCATATTTACTTGACAACTTGCACATAACAACAGTTCAGTGCTACCCGCATGGCTACATACCACATGCGGCAGACTGGGCTCCTGCACATGCTCCTTACTACTGTGGCATGCTGGGTAATGGAGTCCTTAACCTAGTGTACTCATAACATCACAGTATGGTTATTATATTAAAGGCTATACAGGCCGATGAGCCACACTGACTCTTTGAATATGTGTTAGCGTTTCTACTGTACTGGCAGTTATTCTTCATATTCTGTCTGCTGTGACCTGTCTGGACCGGTCTCTCGCTCAAAGATCACCAACTTTCACACGACATGGTGAAGAGAACAAAAAGGTCCAAAATTCAGCAACACAAGAAGTACATAGATCAGTGTTTCTGTGTGTGTCAGGGCATGTTTTCACCTTTCCTTTCCCAACGCTGTTTGACATTGTGTGCAACTCATTTAAACTTTAAAGGCACAGAATAAATAATGATCTCTTAAGACTATTTTGTAAGATATACATATATATATATATATATATAAATAATAGTATATATATAAAATAACTACATAATGATGATAAAAGATAGTTTTAATTGCACATTCTGACAGCGTTGATGCTTTTACTCTCTTATTCCAACACTGCAGCTCAGAATAACATGAGGCAATTTTATGATGATAATTGGAAATTGAGAGAATTAATCCACTCACTGTTCATTTGGAATTATAATAGCTATAATATTATATTAATAATAATAGGAACGACAGCCATCAAATAATATTAGTTGAGTAAAAAGAATATTATTTCCCTCTGAAATGCAGCGTTGAAGAGGTAAAACAGAACATAAACATACTAAAAGTTATCCTTTAGTAGCAAAACCTTGATTTGTCCAACTTGGATGCCCCTATGATAGTTAAAACATGATAAAATACCCTCCAGTAGAGAAACATAATGCAGTGCTGACTGAGTCTGCTGGTTGTGATGCAAATGTCAGCACGATGGTATTGTTCGAAGATAGTTTTGAAAAATCTGAAGGCATATTTCAAGAAAAGGACTCGAGGAGTAGAAGCTTCAAGCAGGCAAACAAAGCTTACAGAGCAGTAAGAACATAAGCACATGGAAGTAAAGTCCAATTTCTACAGGTTTAATAAATATATTATAATATAATGAATGGGTCCAAACTGTCAAAATTAGAATGACAAACCATATTATAAAGTGCTACACATTGTCAGAAATAATGGCAAAAGCAGAAATAACAAAAACATGTAGTTAATACAAAAAATACAAACACAAGCCCCACTTTTACAAACATTTCCACTTTATGCTAATTCAATGCTCTTAAAAAGGCAGTTTTTCCTTACCCCTGTCGCCAAGTGCTTGCTCATGGTGGTACTGTTGGGTCTCTGTAATTAATGTTATAAGGAGTTCGGTCTAGACCTGCTCTATTTGAAAAGGTCCTGAGATAACTTCTGTTATGAATTGGCGCTATACAAATAAAATGAATTGAATTGAAAATGCTGTTTTTGCATGCAGTGTAAATGTGTTATTTTTGCCTATTGGAATATTTCTGCATACTGTAACGCTGCAACAGTATTGGAACTGCAGAAATTGGGACTCTTGTGGATTTGTGATGATGTTTGTCCCCATAGGAGTCATTTCATTGAGATCATTTCTTTAAACTTGATGAATTATTGTGACCTCTACGATAATCACAGCCTCATCAAACTGTACAAGTAGAGAGGAGAGGTGAGGTTCTTCTTTGAGCAGCATCAGACCTTGTCCTGAGCTGTGGGCAAAGACGAGTCATCTCTCTTCAATCAGACTTCTTCTTCCATTTCCAGTTTCAGATTCAGACGTCTCTATTTCAATTATGGACATCATAATTATTCCCCGGCTGGGCTCGACTTCTATTATTGACAAAATTAAGAATTGTCACATACAAATCCAAACACACATAAAACAGTTACATTAAAAAATGGACAGCTAACATACCTTCTACATGTCGATTTCTCCAGCAGAGTTGATTGTTTTTTTTTACATAAACTAGTCTTGCTACTACTAATCCTAATAATCCTAATAGTACAACTACCGGAACTCCAATCAAATACCATGTTTGACCCACTGGTGGCTGTGTTGTACCTGTTGGAAGAAACACATTTTCTATATGATATCTCATACATCAACTCAGCAGAGGTGGACCACCACAGCAAGAACTTTTACACCAATTCACCAAATGTAGAAAATTAGAACAACTGAACAATATTCTGTATTATAAATAAATATGGCAATGCGCAACAATAAATAAAATGCATCCTCATCAGGATGTTTTTGCAGCAGTCAGCAAGCAGTCACAGACGCTGCTGAGCTGCCTGACTTAAAAACAAACAATTTTTCCATTTATCCACCGAATAAAAACAAATACTATTTCACAGTGTATTCATATTTAGTTTTATTAGAATAGAATTTAATTGTATTAACTTATTGCATATTTGATATGTTACAGTAGTTAGCGTGATATATTTTCATAGCTGACATGCTACAGAAATACATTTTGTTTTTATTATAACTAATGACTGGACTGGATACATTATTTCTGCATTGTTAGATACGCATGAAACACCATAACCCAAAATCTATCTTTTTTAGCATACTTTAAAAACATGGGGACACAGTAGCCATTTCATTTAGACCATTTTTTGAAACTTGGCGTGACTGGTGACCTCTAGGGTAATCACAACAAGTCACACAAGAATCCCACACTTAGTTTTCCTTAAGAAATGAAAATAAATAGGAAATCTTACACCATTCTTCATGAAACAGTAAAACCACAAACTAGAGTCCGAGGGCATTCAGAGGATAGATGGAGAAACTGTATGCTGAGACCAAAAGGTAGTTGACATGAAACAGTTCATTAGCGCGTTACATCATCTTCAAGCTGAACATCCGCCCACTTTGAAACTCATTCTGGCACCACATGTATTACTTTTAAATGGGTAACCATGGCAACAGTTCACCTGTGTGAGTGGAGGTCTCAGCCTTTACCTACCTTTATGAGTTTCCGGTCTGGTCTTCACGGTGGTTATATTCAAAACAAATGTTTCTGTGGGGGAAATTTCTATTAGTATTTCAATAGTAAATAAGTCATCGCTGTTTTTACCTTTTAATCAAAGAACAATACAATTTCTACTGTCAGTTTACCGTTTGCCATGGTCTTGCCAAAAGCTGTGGTTAGTTTACACCAATAATTTCCAGCGTCATCAGTGGTGACTGTGGACAGATTTAGTTTGATCTGACCTTCTCTGAGGGCGTCTTTGTCACATTGCACCCGTCTTACAAACTGTTCATGCAGAGATTCTGGGACCTCGACACCGTTTCGGATACGGAATATAACCTTATTAACCACTGACTGGAAAACACAAATCAGGTTGGTGCGAGACATATTTGTTCTGATCTGACTGTCCCATGTAATTGTGATGTTATTATTCTTTGTTTCGTGATAGAAGGTTGAAGCCCGCCTCGCATCGACCACCCCTGTAGAGGAGAGAGATGAAGATAAACAATCGCAAGGAATGATCAAAAGGGGAAAGAGAGAGACACAAGAGACACTCTGTACAAATATACGTGTAATAAAGAACATTACGTTTAATCTGATCCCCACAAAGAGAGAAATGTAGTTAAAAAATGTAAAATGAAACTAACCGCAGACACTGGTGATCAACACAGCCCAGCGGAGCATCTTCACCCTAAGAGTTTGATTGGAACAAGAAGATTTAGATTTCATTAACACAGAACAGATCAGGTCACTTTGATCCCAAATGTATGATTGTAAAGTTTGCTGACTATTAAAAGATATAAGTTAAAAAGTCACATCTTGGTGTAATGTCTCTACCAGTTATTCTACCAATGACAGTTTCTTTCATGCAACAGTATTAAATCTTTCATCAGACAGTGAGCTCATTACATGTTAATGCCTCATGACTAGCATGTGACATGTTACTGCTGGCATGTTTTAATCTGAGAGCAAGGGTGAAAAATAGGAAATGCTACTTCCACAGAAACGAGAGTTAGTAAACTATTTTAAATTTCGTAAAATATTGTAAAATTTCATAGACTTCCATTGTACTGTTCTTTTCACAATTCTTGAAAAAGCAAGAAAAAGGACAAGATAAGATACACAACTCACTGGAGTAACTTTATATATATATTTTAGGTTTAGGTTTAGCTATCACACCATAATTATTTATTACCATCCATTCACATAAACGGTCACACTGAAGGAATAATCAGCTTTTTTATACTATAATGAAATTCTTACTTTAAAAAACACCGATATCCAACTCTGTGTTGATGTCAATATTTAATTAGATGTAGATTAATGTAGATTTGCAAATACCACTGCTGATAAACACAATAAAACACAAGACATGTTAGCAAACTAAATTTATATATTTTTTTAAATTTGAACTTACTTTTGAGATGAAACAAGGTGAAAATTGATCGACGCAGTTCTTTGAAATGGAGGAAGTATGCACCTATTTAACTCTTGACACCAACTGAGGAGGAGTTTGAAACATACCGCCTATTACCACTGAGTTGTTTTTTTTTTCACTGCTTAAAACCCTTAAAGACAAAAAAAAAAATACACTTTCAGTCTCACCAGCAGATTCTACGAGGCAGTAATAACATCCACCAAACTCTTTAAAGCCAGTATACATTGTTTTATATACTGTCGGAAATTTGACCTGCTTATTGTCCAACCCTCCAGCTTCGATATAAATGAAAAAATGTATTTGCCACCTGACTTTTACCAAACAATTTATCTTGATGAGCGGGGACGTGCAGAGGATGTTAGAGTGGCAGGGGCCCTTTATTTTCATTTTATATTGATATTGAAGTGGATTAGGAATTGCTTTGGCTTTGGGTGTGAAACCTTGACAGGAGTTCAGGACAGCACAACTGCAGTTGCAATGTCTTTGCCAGCCGTGTAATATAGTGGTGAAGGAGAACCTCATTAGGCGCATGTGTAGACGGTGTACATGAGGTGAGAGTTCATCTAGGCTCAAGCAGAGAAAAGGAACCAAGAGCTTGTGGTTGGAAACTCAGAAAATCTCTCACAAGCCCATGCTGAGGCCAGCACTTCTCAGTGTGAGCTGGTACAAGCATTTCCGCATTTGTCAGAACGTCAGATCCTCTTTGATGCTGCTATCGTGACCCCCAGGACGGCATGTTCGTTTTTCAGCAGACGTGTTTTATCAGCCAGGAAATTCTTCTGATTTTTCATCCCCAGAAAGAGTCTTACCTTGCTGACATTACTGGGCTCAGACATGGCTTTCACAGCACTCACCTTATTTTCTGAGAGTAATCACACTTGTGACACAGCACCCTCTGCAGCCTCTCATCTTGAATGGCTCCCCAGTTGAGCCCTAATGGAGTTATGAGGGTTGCTCAGCAGAGAAGACTCCTTGGAGAGTGAAATCTGCGAAAATCCTAGCTTTGAAAATACACTTTGGCTCCAGCAAGCTGTCCTATGTTTTGTCTGTGGGGAGGGGATGCTTCTCTCTCATCACTGATTCAGTCAGCTCAGTGAGGTCGGTGCATATTCTCACCTTGCTTGTGTGTTTAGGTGCCACAACCATCGGTGCACACCACTCAGTGGGCTCCTCCACATCTAAGATGACTCCCTGCTGCTCCATATGATCCAGCTCTGTGCCCCTAGCTTTATGACAATGTTGTTCTCACCCATGCATTTTGATTAGTCCACAAAAAAGCATTTGGAAATTCCCATTTTACGTGTCCTGGGAGGCAGGCATTGGATGTAGCTCAGACATAAAAACAGCATATTAATACAGTATTACACTGCATCAGCTGCTTTTAAAATTTTACAGCAAGAATATACAAGATATGTATGTGTTACGCAGTCAAACCGTGATAAATTCTAATTCTAATTCTAAATGTAAATATTGAACTTGATAAACAAGAATATAAGGCTTTAAAAATCAGTCAATACATCAATTCAAACAACATAAATGACGAGTGACAATTATTGAAGATTGTAAAAATATACACATTTTATTTAATCTAATCATCCAATTAAAAATTACTAAATGAAGAAAAAAGAGAACTCATCCTTCTTCTTATTGAACTTTTATAAAAATAGTCAATAATGTTTTCACATTATACTTTGGAGCATCACAGGCTTCCTATTAAAAACTTCATATTCAAAAATAGTGTAAACATTGCTAAAAGGCTCAGTGTGTAACATTCAAGAGGATCTAATGGCACAAATGGATTATAATATCCACAGGATGTTCTTGTTCCATTAGAATTACATGTTGAACCACAACGCTTCTACAGTAGCCCAGAACGGACAAACTAAACACTGACACTTGATAGGGCCGTTTGTGTTTTTCACAGCCACCGTAGTTTCAACACTTTTTAAACGGAGGATGAAGCGAGTGAGTTGCAATCTGCAACTACAGTGCTAGATGCCACTAAATCTTACATACTGGTCCTTTAAGGCAGATGTGCATAATTAGAAAATGAATTAATTAAATTCAGTTTTATTTATGTAGGACCAAACCATAGTCAGATATTATTTCAGGAGCCTTTTCATATAGTGCAAATTTAGAATTCCCACCATGACCACCTACTACAACAACTACACTGGCAAGGAGAAACTTCATTATTAGAAACTTCACCAACCGGAAGAGTCCCACACTGAGTGTGCTTTGCTGCTAATTCATACACGTATGAAACTCTGCAGCTCTACTGAGTGAGCTAAATTTGAGGTAAGAAAAAAGGCTTGTTAACAATTGTGTTCTGTAATGTTGGACTGGATGAGGGTGTCTGGTTAGATTCTTCACTTTCTTTAGCAGCTCGTTACTGTTTTAGGTGCTGTGTGTCAGTGTACAGCGGGTTTCTCAGAACTGGTTTTCTGATCACAGCTTACAGTACAGTAAATGTAACACCAAAACTGACACATGCCCACTGCTTCAAAACCAACACTGCAGTGGGAATGTGATGAGAAAAGAGGTGACATTCTTGTTTGAGCTGCATCAGACCTTGGTCTCAGCTATGGACGAGTCATCTCTCTCTTCAGTCGGGCTTCTTCCATTTCCAGTTTCAGATGGGGGAACTTCTCCATTCAGATTCTGTAGCTCAGTGCCTTCAGGCTGGGCTTGATCTGTATTATTGACAGAATTAAGAATTGTCACATACAAATCCAAACACACATCAAACAGTTGCATTAAAAAAGGACAGCTAACATACCTTCTACATGTTGATCTCTCCACCAGTGGAGTAGTTGGTCTCTTTTGGGTAGTTTGTCTCTATTGAAATAAACTACTACAGCTACTAATACTAATACTAATACTACAACTCCAATCCAATACTTTGTTGGACCCACTGGTGGCTGTGTTGTACCTGTTGGAAAAAAAACATTTTCTATTTGATATCTCATACATCAACTCAGCAGAGGTGGACCACCACAGTGAGAACTTTTACGCCAATTCACCAAATGTAGAAAATTAGAACAATTTAACAAATTTTTGTTGAAAAATTAATAGAAGTAAACGTCCTCTTCAGGATGCTTTTGCAGCAGTCAGCAAGCAGTCACACAACAATTTCACAGTTGGCCAGATAGCGGTGTTATAATGTAATTTTATTCAAATATCGTTTTTTTTTCGTTTATCCCCTGAATCAAAACAAATACTATTTCAGTGTGTTCATATTGGGTTATTCACCGTTTTTATGAAAAGTTATGAAACACAAAACGGTGGAATTTTCAAGATTAAATTATTTTTTGAAAGTTTTTGAAAGTTTACATGTTTCCACCTCCAGGCAGCACTAATTTCAGTGTCATAGGAGTCAACATCAGTTTAAAGAGATGTGAAAACTTACTTGAACATTATTTCTACACTGTGTTGGCTCACCGTCAGCAGCTGCTGGTCCAGATGTTGGTGTGGTGAGGGGCACATCCACAGTATTACTTTCTATGGGGGAAATTTGTGTTAGTGTTACAGTCACATTTACATGTTTTCCCTTTTAGTTAAATAACTTAATGAAATGAACCTAATCAGTAGAATTTAACTGAGTTGACTCAGCACACTAAGGTTTCATATTGGTACATGTATAGTTTCTCATTTCATCAATCCCAAAATGTGACAACATAATATTTATCATACATACATTGCATGAAGCACAAAAGGCTGGAAGTCTCCCCCTCCTTCAATTTCATCTTTGTGATCAGAGTCTATTTTTTCAGCGTCATGAGAATTAAAATCAGTTTATGTCACAACTCAAGCAGATAAACAGGGAACATATGGGTTCAGCTGTGATCAGCTGAGGGAGCTGGAATTGAGAGCTAAGTTTGACTTTGTGGCCTGTCCGAACTAACGCTGTACTCAATTGACAATTCTTGTCAAAGTTGCATTATTGATATGTGGTACAGTAGTTCTTAGAAATCAGATTCTTATGTGAATATAATGGACAGAGTATGACATATTGTTAGATATTCACCATGTTGGCTCACCTTCAGCAGCTAGAGGACCGGGTGTTGGTAGGGTGAGGACAAAATTCTCTATTGGGGGAAATCTGTGTTAGTGCATGTTTTTTCTTTAATTAAATAGCTTGAGTGAATGAACCTAAACAATAAAGTTCCAGTGAGTCAACTTACCTAACGATTTAAAAAAATGACACCTGTATTTTCCCTCGTCATCGTTTGTGAAGTTTGACAGATCAATATCCAGTCTGCCACCGTTTCTTGTGCAGTTAACTCGTCCCTTATACTTGTTTGAAGATGGCGCTCGTTCACCGTTTTGCACTACAAAGAAAACCTCACCATCTTTCAGGCGAAAACACTTAATGTTTGCTCTAGAAAGGTCGGTTTCGTTCGGTATTTCCAAACTTATAATCTTGGAACCGCCCTGATCTCTGGTGGTCAATTTCTCGGACCATACCACTGTAAAGGAAAGACAGAGAGAAATTAGCCACAAGAAACATCCAAATAGTGCTGTGTACTGATAATGAACTGAAGGTGGAAGCTAACTGAAAGTCAGGATGATGAGCAGCAAGGTCCTGCAGAACATCTTCTCCCTGTGAGAGGAAACAGAGGGGAAGAGTCAAAAACAAATGAATTCATCAGACAGTAAAACGTCACAGAGCATGTTTATAACACAGATACTTGTTATGGATGTATAATCAAAGTTCTTTTTAACTAAACCTCACAAAAAACATTGCTTAAAGCCCAATGATCTACAGAGGTCTCCTCCTGTCCAAAACAAAGGGACCCGCTGATTAAAACCAGTTAAAACACTGAATAAAGCAGTTCCACCTTAACAATCACTGCTTCTCCCACGCTGTCGGACAGACAAAGGACTTCACGGAAGGTCTGCAAGCCTTGCTTCTCTGATAACTTAAGGTCCAGACGTCTAAAGGATCCTTCATCTGGTTCAAATCTAGAGTTAAAAAGCACAGTGGATGGTAAAAATGTGTCTTCAGACTGGATAAACAGTCAATGTATGACAGCTACAATCCACAGAGGGGATATGACGCCATTGACGGATGACCGGTGTTACCTGAATAAAATGACAGATTTCTCTGAGATTGACCTGAAGAGGCTCCACGTAGCTCTCTGCTCACAACTACAGTTTGATATAAAGCTTGTATTACTTTGTTGGGGTCTTGTAAGTAAGTAAGTAATTAAGTAAGTAAAATGTCTTTAAAAAGCACTTTTCCCAGAGACAAATCACAAAGTGCTTTACAGAGGCAACGTACAATAAAGGAGGCACAATGCATGATAGAATAAAGCTATATATGTATATAAACATTAACATATGCAAACATAAAATATATATACATGTGTAATTTTAAGTTGGAAAACTAAGTTTCTGGTAGAATGTCCACCCTACTTGCCTTTGCTCGGACCCATTTTCAAACTTTTGTACTCAACTACACACACAGTGCATTTCCTCTATCTTTGACCAAATCGGTCCAAATCTGGCAAAATACTCAAACACGCTTCTGTGGTAGTTCCCACTACTTCCCATTTCTTTAAGAGTGTTTTTCCAATCATCTATTTCCTATTTACATTTTTATTGACATTAGCACAAAACAAACACCTTCCCGTTTGTTTTTGTTTTTTAAAGTTTTTTTTGGCCTTTTTATTGCCTTTATTTGATCAGGACAGCAAAAGACCACAGGAAAGGGGTAGAGCAAGCGGGGATGACAGCAGCAAAGGGCCACAAGTCAGATTCGAACCCTGGGCCTCTGAGCAAACTGGGCGCCCACCTTCCTGTTTGTTAAAGCATATTTTCCAAATAAACCCGCAGAGACATGTGCAGTATGAGCTGGGATAGGCTGCAGACTTATTGAATGATAATTTGAAAAGATGTCAAAACAATGACAGCATTGCTAATCATACTGATAAGGGCTTTTTGTTGTTGTTGTTGTTGTTGTTGTTGTTGTTGTTACTAAGATAAGCCTCTCTTCTCTGTTGTGTTCTTGCTTCACCAATGTGCCTCATCTGCAGCCTTGGTTTATCCACTCTGTCTTTTCCCCCAGCCCTCGACTTCTAAATGAACGGAGGTCTGCCAAAACGCAGTGAGCCCGAGGCTCCAGCGAGCTTTCACTCTTCTGTGTTGGTCTAATTATTCTTGAGCAACATTGAAACCTATCTCCTTTGATCGGCTTTACTGCCTTCCTCTCTGCCCTGCTACACTCCTCTGCTCTCCCTCCTTCTCTCTTTCTGGTAGCTTCTGATTGGCTGGTTGGTTAGCTTAAGGCATGACAAGTGTTGAGACAGACAGGGTTCGACCCAATCAGAGTGGATGGCTGAACGCATGGACAGAAAAATGGCGTCTTGGTAGCATGCACCGAGCGCTAACCGGTCGCTGTTTGACAGTTATTATAGTAAAGACCTTGTTCTATTCTTCCAAGTTGGGGTCTAAGTCTTGAAGAACTTCCCGGTGTGATAATCAAGTCACTTTAATTCATGCATGAGAGAAGGTCACCTTGGATGTTCTCTCCCGACTTCCAAAACTCTCCCTATATACATTCCAGTACATCTCATTACATCACAAACAATAAACCCCCTGTGTGTCTTGCAAATGTACTCCTGTAAATCCAGGTCTCTCTCACCAAATGGTCTTTGATCTCTTCCCGTTTCTTCTTTTTATAAAAAAAAAATTTTTTTAAAGGGGGAGATCTATTTTTTTACCCCAAACCCTTTTTTTTCTCCCCCCCCCTCTTCCCCCCCCCCCCCCCCCCCCCCCCCCCTTCCCCCCCTCTTCCTCTGTTCTTGTCTGTTCTTTAATGCGAAAACTACATTCCTCAAATATTAGGCGTCACAAGAGTAAACAAGAGTAAAGCCATGCTAGTATGTAGCCTTCCACGAGGCTGTGTGATGCAGCTCCACCAGCAGCCAGCAACATGCTCATGTTTAGCAGGTATAATATGTAAATGGTGAATGGACCTGTACTAGTATAGCACTTTCATATTCACACAGCGACGGCAAACATCGAACAGAAACTAACTCATTCACACAGCGATGAACGGCGTCAGGAGCAATTCGGGGTTCAGTATCTTGCTCAAGGATACTTCGACATTTGGCGGGAAGAGCCGGGGATCGAAGCAACAACCTTCCGATTAGTGGACGACCCGCTCTGCCTCTGAGCCACAGCCGCCCAATACTTTTCTAACCATGACAGTTTAGTATGCTAACATTAGCTGATTTGCACTAAACCAGAATGACTGACTTGAATGGCTCAAAGAGGCTCACGTTGCATGTTGCAGAATATCCGATAACTGCGAAAGACTGCAGTCAATGAGCAGGAAACACTTACTGATTCACACCGTTACACAAATAATACCAACTAATACTCAAACTGTACTTACTCCTTTTCTTCCTTAGGGAGGATCCAAAAAGAGCCCGAACAAGAAGGTAACCTCTTTTCATACTATACCAAGGAATGCCACTGACACGAGACAGGGCACAACAACTGCAAACTGGAAGTGGGATCGGATGGAACTAAACATTACGTAATCGACAGGGAGTGCAGCTTGTTGAAACATACACATATAATTATACTGTATGAATTCTTTTCACAATGCTACGACTCAAAGTTCATGTTTCATCTTGCTACTGAGCTGCTGATTGAACATGCCCACCTTCCTCCAGTCCCTTTACACACACACTGACTGTCAGCTGACAGTTTAATGTTGCAAATCATTTCAAGGAAAGATAGAGCCAAACTTGACACAAGTCTTGTTGGGGACCATGTTTTAAGTAGAAAACTAAGTTTCTGGTAGAATGTCCACCCTGCTTGCCTTTGCTTGGACCAAACCCATTTTCAAACTTTTGTACTCAACTGCATTTCCTCTATCTTTGACCAAATCGGTCCAAATCTGGCAAAATACTCAAAAACGCTTCTGTGGTAGTTCCCACTACTTCCCATTTCTTTAAGAGTGTTTTTCCAATCATCTATTTCCTATTTACATTTTTATTTACATTAGCACAAAACAAACACCTTCCTGTTTGTTTTTGTTTTTTTAAAGTTTTTTTGGGGGGCTTTTTTATTGCCTTTATTTGATCGGGACAGCAAAAGTCAGACAGGAAAGGGGGGTAGAGAGAGAGGGGATGACACGCAGCAAAGGGCCACAGGTCGGATTCGAACCCTGGGCCGCTCAGCTAACTGGGCGCCCACCTTTCCTGTTTGTTATAGCATATTTTCCAAATAAACCCGCAGAGACATGTGCAGTATGAGCCAAACTTCAAAGTCTGTTTGGGGACCACGTCTCGAGCACTTCTTAGTTCACGGGCGAGAAATCTTAGCATGTAAGACAAGATGTTCCTTTATTGATCCCCAGTAGGGGAAATTCAAATTGGCACAGTAGTAAAGAAATAAAATGAAATATATATAAAAAAGTAGAATAAGGTAAACCTGTATATATCTGTACATCTGCAATGTTTCTGAATTATTGTGCAAAAAAAAAGTTGTGTTTGACAGGTTAAGGGTCTCAGTCAGTGGAGGTAGGACGTACTGATGGCTCCCAAACACTTCCCACAGGCATCAGGTTGGGTTACTCAATACGTATCATTACATACATATGTATAAAGGTATACCTAACAAAAGGTATAAAGCTATGATACTGTGACTGATATGTGTTTTTTAACATCATTTTTAAGATTTTTTTCATATTGTTGATACAATTGCTAATTTTTATTGTTTAATCTCCTTCTTATGGCCTCTTTATTGGTCCTGTTGTGATGTGTATCACTTATGGTGGTGGTATGGTTATTACATTAAAGGCTATACAGGCCGATGAGCCACACTGACTCTTTGAATATGTGTTCGCATTTCTACCATAGTGGCAGATATTCTTCATATTCTGTCTGCTGTGACCTGTCCGGACCGGTCTCTTGCTCAAAGATCACCAACTTTCACACGATATTGGTGAAGAGAACATAAAGGTCCAAAATTCAGCAACACAAGAAGTACATAGCTCAGTGTTTCTGTGCGTGTCAGGGCATGTTTTCACCTTTCCTTTCCCAACGCTGTTTGACATTGTGTGCAACGCATTTAAACTTTAAAGACACAGAATATATAATGATCTCTTAAGACTATTTTGCTTTTGATTACATTTGTTTTGAACTTGTTCTGAGCAGGAGTGATTGGGGAAGTCCGTACTGTGAAGATATCGTGTGAGATTAAAAATGTACTGGAACCCACGGGTTTGTAGTTGAGGTTTATGGTGAGAACTGAGACTGATCTTTCCTGATCTGCATATTACAGCTGGTGCTCATCTGTACACACAAAGAAAAACACTCCCCTGGGGATTAAATCAGAAAATACACACAAATGGCTCCTACCCTTCTGCATGAGATCGTTTTATATAGTGGAGATGCAGCTCTATATGTTGTCAAGGATTCGAATTAGATTCATTTATTATAGCAAAACAGTAAACACAAAACATCATGTTACAGTCAAATGTCAATCAGCATCTCACTCTAACAATGCATCATATTTTATAGCCTGATCTGAACCTTGCAGCTTAGACAAACATGTTACATTAAATCTGGAATATGAAGGAATGAGAATGCAACTGCAAAATGTAATTACAATAAAACATTTGTGGGGTCCTTTATAAATAATGCACGGCAGGAAATATCAAAACATGGCATAGGCAGTATAGGCAAATGCTAAGGGCGCCGTCCATCTAGGGGGCGCCACGATGGGGGAAGGAAAAAAACAAAAGGTGCAACTTTCAATATGTTTTATACCAAAACAAGTTGGTGCTATTATTTCTTAGTGTGAAAAAAGCCCACATTAATTTAACTTCATAGTGAAGCCTATTAAATAATAATAAGACTTTATGGAGGTGGAAGCTGCGCCGGGAGACGAGCGAGTGGAGGCAGTAGTAGTGTAGTCAGCAGTCTCTTGTTGCCATAGCAACAGTAAACATTGACATGGACTAATGAGTTGTAAATAGAGATGCAGAATCAAGCTGTATTGTAAAAACAGATGAGATACTTTTAATTTTAGCACAAAATACAAGTAAACCTATAGGAAATAATGAGTTTAATTTGCAATATTTGCCATTGAATTTATTGTAATCTTTCAATTCATAGGGTTAGAGACTTAATAATGTCTCCATGTCCCTCTCAGGTTGAACACTTGACATGTGAGAGCCTGAGGAGTTGTTCCCCCTCGTCCATGTTCGAGGACTTGCTCTCTCTCTGCCTCCACTTCACCACTTTTTGGCTACTGAGACGTCTCTGATTGGTTGAGTATGTCATGTGTCTTATAATGTTATATGAATTCATACTTGATTTGTGATGATGACTTAATAATATTTCCATGTTTCTTTTAGGTTGACCACCCTATATATGAGAGCCTAAGGAGTTGTTTTCCCTCTGTCCCCTTTTGAGGACCTGCTTTGTCTCCTCCATCATTCACTGGGACACTTTTGGGTTCCTGAGCTTATGCAATATGTGTATGTTTAAAGGTTTATGTGAAGAAACATACTATATGTGTGATAAAATGACAATTGGTAATTCATAAATGTCTCTTTATATTCTCTGCTACCATCATCTCCTGTCAAACAGGAGAGAGAAGAGAGAGAGAGAGAGAGAGAGAGAGAGAGAGAGAGAGAGAAAGAGCGAGAGAGAGAGAGAGAGAGAGAGAGAGAGAGAGAGAGAGAGAGAGCCTGACTTTGTGAGGTTATTATGCAACTTGTTTTGTCTCAGATTGAAACAAAAGGTTTGATTATGATTATTTCCTCGGTTGAAGATTTTCATATTGATGATTTTAATTTCAAACATCTGCATATCTTTTAAGTTCAATGAACAGTTATGCAGGTAGGCCTTAGGGCTCTTTTGAGACTTCAGTCATCCTTCATGACGGATACATTTGTTCACTAAGTGTCACTACATCACAAAAAGGCTACATGGCTACATATACTTGTCAGTACACAGATACTGAGTACAAGTTCTGTTTGCTGTTTCTTGCAGGTCATGAATTTGGTGAGGAGTGGAGCTGGCTGGCTGCGGCTGAGGAAGTAGGGCAATATATACATGTGCACATACACATATATAAGAATGCATATCTATTCAGACCTGTAATTCATGTCTTAGACTTTTTCCACACAGCTATAGATCATTATTTTCGGTTTCATAATGACAGAGTCACCGTTAAAACAAATGAGTTTCAGCTCTAATGCTGCTACTGTCTGCAATATGTTTCTATTTAGATTATTTGTCAGGATATTTTGTTATTATTGTCCAAGTCTGGTTTTAACTAATGCTGGGCTTACACCAAAAGATTTTTAGTCACAGACTAAAAACTGAAAGGGTAGCATGAGGGTTCTTCCCGTTAGTCTCGTCAACCCCTAGTCATGACATAACTTCTGTTGTGATTTGACACTATAAATGAATAAAGACTGATTGATTGATTGCTATAGCTGTCAATTTTAGTCCTTGAGTTCATAGTTACGTGCTTTATTTGTTAACTGCTATAAGGAATATAACTCTCCTTTGTAGTATGCATGGACTGGACTGTAACACCCAACTCTTTCTGTTGCAGTGGCTGCTGCTGAAAGAAGCTTCTCCAAGCTCAAACTCATTAAACCTTACCTGAGATCTACTATAATGCAAGAACTCAGTGGACTTTCCACCATAAGCATCAATCATGTGATCTCAGATCAGTTGTCATATGATGATGTTGTAGATGACTTTTCTGAAAGAGAGACTAGGAGAGTACAACTGTAGCAGGGGATGTGAGGATGACTGATGTGGTGAAGTTTCATTTATTTTATCACCTGTTTACAGTTTTTATTTTGTAGGTAGTTAAATGTTATACTTTGTGTGGGCTATTTATATTTCTTGTATTATTTATTTCTAATTTATTATTTTCTTGTTAACTGTTTTGATTGAGCAACTTGTTTCTCTGAAAATAAAATAAAATGTCAAAGACAAAGCTATTCAGTTTCCTGCGTGAGTATATGTATGTATATAAGGCAGTGGTTTACAGTCATGGGGGGGGCACCTAACATCTTGCCTAGGGAGCCAAATTGGTTAGGGCCGGGCTGGGCCTGGCCAAAAGATTATTTCCTTGTAAACCGATACCAAAGTATAACTTCACAAGATGCTCAACATTCCTCATTTTAACTGAGGGGGAAGAGTTCTCAAAATTACTACTTTATTCTCGTAATATTATGACTTTATTCTCGTAATATTATGACTTTATTCTCGTAATATTATGACTTTATTCTCGTAATTTCCAAAAAAATATATTTTTGTCTTAGTTTGACCCTAATACTCCGTTGGAATTTTGTGAGGTGTAGCAGAAAAGTAATCAGAATCAGAATAAGAAATACTTAATATTAATCCCAGGGGGAAATGACTTTCGTTACATGTACTCCAGATGTAATAGACATACAATAAATGAAGAATATAAAGGTTTAAAATGTACAGTTTAAAGTCTATAACGAGTAGGGTAACTAATTACTTTTTGAAAAGAGTAAGAGCCTATAACTTAGTCTAAAATGTGGCCATAATAGATCATTAGATCATATGTGTTCATTTCTGTTTATGAACATGTTATTTTTAACCTAAATTAATGTGTTGAATTTGGCACAACCTATAATATGGAAGTGTGATGAGATGCCATACTGTATCTTCCTATAAACACTAAAGAGCCTACACTCATTAACTTTCATTTTCTGGGCCCTGCTCTTCAAGCAGCTTTAATTGCATAAAGTTTATAACTGAATAAGTTAAAACGACACATTTTAATGCCACATTTAATGTCATATCTGACAGACACCAGCAGATTATAATGGTTTTACAATAGGCTGACGATTCACTCTAAAACAACCTGGGGGATTTCACAAATGAATAATCAGTTCTTCAAGAAAATGTCAACCACAGTTGACACAGACACCTCCTCCACTATAACTCCTCCCCCTCTATCTGACAGACCAATGGCATATACAGTTAGTTTAATAGCTCACTGTTACTATAATGGTCCTCAGACACACTCTGATCTCATGGGAATTAAATGGTTCCATCTGACTACTCCCTGACTCAAGCTTGTAGAAGATGCTTTTGGTAAACCTGATTTGTGGATGAAGCTGCGAGATGAAAAGCATTACGCAAGTAAGTACTGTTGAAAACATTTATTGTTTTGAGATATTCTTTTTTTAGTTTGAGGGTAGGAATAAAAGTAAAAGTAAAAGTTGAGCAGTTTGATGAATACAGGCCCTAACACAGTGTCACAGTTACATTTACCTCTCGTGCTGTTTGTGCTCTTAAAGTAGTGGTCGACTGATATGAGTTTTTAAATGGCCGATATTTAGAGTAGAGAGCTGCCGATGGCTGATATATAATGCTGATATCAAAAGAATAGATATAGTTATGTATAATTCTATTCTCTTCTACAGGAAATTCAGACATGTGTTTACAGCAGGATGCTCGAGTTACGATAAATGGCTTGAAAGCAACCACTTTCCCAGAACTCATAACCAACATTGTATCTCAGCAGCCACAGTGATGAGGTTGTCTGCAGATGTGACTGAAGACAATTTTTGTTTATTAGCCTCGAGGGCTCAGACATTCTTCCAAAGCCGATTATGTCAAAATGCCAGATAATCAGTCTGATCAATCAGCCGACTGATCAACTGCTATTTTTATTGAGTGAAATATTAAAACCCAAGATGTCACGTGTTTGTGGGAGAATGAACTCTGCATGTTGACAAATTTCAGTGTCTCGTAGAATATGAGTGAATGTCTAAGAAAAAAAATAAAGAAATTCTACAAGGTGTTTGGCAAGTGATGAGTTAGTTGTACGTATTTATACATGAATACACAAGTGTGGCACATGTTCACATTAAAACATGACTCTTCATCGCTGTCTCCTCTCACAGGGAGAAGATGGTCTGCTGGATCCTGCTGCTCATCAACCTGACCTCCTGTGTCTGTGGTTAGTTTCCACCTTCACTTTATTATCCATGAAGAGAAAAGTCCAAATACACTTTCAGACTTCCATCTTTCAATCTGTAAGGAGGAAGGCCTCTACAGCACTGAGAGCATCACTAAACTGTCCACAGAAACATCTCTAGATGGAGTTTAAAGGCTCACATGTTAAAGTTGTCACTTTGTCTGGTCCTCACTTTCCCTCTCTGTCTCCTCAACAGGAACATTTGTAGTGAATGGGACACAGACCTCCTATCAGGCAGAGGAGAACCATAACATCACACTGGAATGGACGTTCACAACCAACACTGAAAGGCCCCCCATCCCACTTTTTATATATTGTGAACTGATAACTGATCATAAGCGTTCAGGTGTGTATGATCGCTATGATGGTGTCGAAGTCTCAGAGTCTCAGGATGAACAGTTTAAAGGACGAGTCCAGTGTGACAAAGACGCCCTCAGAGAAGGACGACTCAGACTTCATGTGACCAGACTCAGGACTGAAGACTCGGGCCTGTACCGGTGTGAAGTGCTCACAAATTATGGTGGCAACTTCGGGGAATGTCGGCTCAACGTCATTGGTGAGTTGATTCAGTAGATGTTAGTGGAACTTTCTCATCAGTGTTGTACTGACTGGGCTGCTGAACTAGGCTCTATAGACACACAGTATTCACAGTCTCCTAAATGACTCAGACAAACACGTAATTTTCTTGTATGTACCTGCTACATATATGTCCTCATGAGTTTTTAGACTTTGTAACATCACATCATTTTGCAGTGTTGCAAAATACACTTGAACACAAGTAAGAACTGTGTGAAGTTCTGTCACAATGTCCATGAGTTTTAAAAGCCGAAAGAATCGTGTTTGTTTAATGTTTGTTCCAGCCTTTCTCTTGGCAGGGAAAACAGCAAATTCATGTTCTTATACTTCAGTCTTTGTACAGATTAAACAAACAAGATAACATGTTACTTATTGAGCCTCTGGTCGCTGGTGGTAGCTGCATATATTTGTATATTGTTTAGTCATATGAATAAAACTCTCCACCAGAAAACAAATAAATTCCCAAAATGTTGAACTATTCCTTTAACTGGCAGTGTTTTTTTCGGTCGCCTCAGACCTGTCTTTGCAAAAAAATGCTCACCATCCCCGTCTACAGACAGATAGATAAAAACTCATTCTAAGGTAACAAAAACATAACAATTCCTATATTCAGGTGATTATACACTGTTATATTTCATTTCTGTAAATAGATCCTGCTAAATGTTACACAGTAGACCTTCAAAAAAATAATACCATCACACAAAAGTTGGCTTCAAATCACAAACTGCAGTGATGACGCCATCTGGGGGGAATTGTAAGCAGAAACATAAGTCGTCAAACTCATTTAAAAAATGCTATTATTTCTATTCTGCCATTTCTAAACTAATAAAAACGCCTTCAAGAAGCATGTTAAAAAATATAATATAATTTGTAATGTGTTTGTAATGTTTTCTGATCAAATGAATAACAGACACATATTTGTTTGATCTCTTCTTTCAGCAGCCAGAGTTCAGCCCAAAGATGAGAGACAAGAGCCACCAAACCAGGGAACAACTACCTGCTGCTGTAGATTAGCTCAGGCTGTAGTACTCCTGTACTGGTCTATTTATTTATTCTTCCTGTGAACTCTCTTGAACAATTGTACAGTTGTACAGCTTCTGTGAGGCTGTACGTACGTCATCAAACTGGTCACCATGCGAGTTGTTGAGATATTTCTGGACCTCTATCCTGTCCCCTGCGGCTGCCCCTGAGACGAAGGCTCTCTTTCCTACAGAAGCGCATTGCATTCACTGGATAAAAAAATATATATATCTTATAATTACGAGATAAGATAAAGAAAAAGGAAACGTCTGTAAATCCTCTCTCAGTGGCAGTGATGGTGCTATTGCAGTTAATCTGCTATTACTACGTTCTCGGTTTGAGACACTGAGAAATACTGATGTTTCTTAAAATGAGGATGGTATTAATATTAGTATGTCAACACGGCCTCTTCATGGATGTGCAGTTAGTGGTTCTGAGTGAAGCAGTGGCCAATGTGACACCTTTCCTCATCTTTTCTCGTAATTATGAGATAAGGTGTCTAATTGTTTTTAATCCAGTGAATGCAATGCACTTCCGTACTTACCTCCTCTGACTGTTAGATTTGCACTGTTCTCACTATTTACCGGTATGTTGGTGGTCACACATACAACAACTCTTCAGCCACTGTTAAATACTGGTACAGTAATTTAGAACTGTAAACACATACATCATATGTGTCTGGTTAACTGAATGCTAATGCACACCTTCATGTTTTGGACAGTGGACTGGTATCAAACTTTAAAAACAAAACAAACACAGTTAAATGGTCTACAAGCCCTTTTATTCGTTAAGAGGCCATTGTATAATGCACAATAAGCTTTTGCACAAATAAACCCTGATCCAGTTCAGGCTGATCAGGAACTGTATCTGTAATAATAATGTGATACTAAGATACACAAATCTTTATTTGGGGATGTTGCTGCTCTTGAATGTAGAGATCCTGTTTGGTTAGACCAGCAGAGCTCTGAGTGCACTACACTGTGGATAAATGTGTAACATTAATGCTTGTTGTTGCTTGCTATACTGGTTGATTTGTTTTCTTTATGATAAAGAAGTACAGTCAAACAGTTAGTGTAGCTTAAGTGTTGAGGTCCAGGTATGGCTTTTTATATATATTATAATATATAACACGCTGTGAGACTTCCTGCCTCCCACTAGTATTTCTTTATATTGACCAAAACAATAACACTTTCCTGGATGAAAATATTTTTTACATTTAAAACTTCATGTGCAATATTTTGTACAATAAATACTGTGATGTAATTTTCATGATTTATTTTTTTTGAAATAAAATGACAAAAGAAAAATAAAGATGTTTCAGTGTCAATTCTAATTGATGATTTTGGTGTTTAAGACTGGTGAAGTCAGTGCACTTTGAACTGCAGCAGCACAGCTCTGACAGCTACAGTATAACACATGATGAGACATGATGTTCACTGTGATGGATGCTCTGACTCAAGTTTCAATGGACTGCCTGGAGGAAGGCAAACACGTTCACATATACATGTACAATCACTGCATTCAATAGGAAATATATACTATAAAAAACAAACACACACCACTACAGTATATTCAGATTAATAATGAGCAGTTAAATATATGTTAGTAGCTGAAGTGCTGGTATGGAGCAAAAGCTTTGTTCATGTTTCTGTCTCCACAAATAAACAATTTTCTAAAATCAATATGATCCTTATTGTTCAATTATTGCTTCAGTTGTATTCATTATTGATATCTTATGTATATGGAATCTTTGGATGTTTCTGAATATTAAAATTGCATCATATTATCACAAAATGAATAACTTAAATTAACTTGATGCACATTCTGGTATCAACTCTTTTCAGTTCAGTTATGTGATCTTAACTTTGTGACTGGTTGACTGTGTGATTGGACAAATGGATTGTAGTTTAATTTACTCTTTTAATAGTTTGGCAGAGGTTGATGCATCATATGGTACCCAGAGACTTATAATATGCTGATTTAATCGCAAACAATCATGTACAAATATGAAAAGGTAGCATTGAAAACAATAAACTGCTTTATTTTCAAATATTATATGTGTTAATTTCTGTTTTTTAACACGTTCTCTTTAAAAATAAGCTAAATTAATGTGTTAAATTTGACAGCATTTGACACCAATCAGGGGTGGCCAGCCATTGTTCAGGGGTGGCTGCTGTCACCCATCTAGATCTGCCCCTTGTTATAGTTCTTCATGACCGGTGACTTGACATACATAACGGACATCCCTAGGCTTGTCTTTAACTCCAAGAGTGTTACTTTATTACACACACTTGTAGTCTGCATTACATGCACTCCGGTAGACCGGGAACTAGACACATCAAACATTGTATCACTCCGCCTAAACGTCACTAACATCATCATGACAGTATAAATGCGCGGCACTATATACTACATCCCTGGCAGCAACCATGAGCCTCTGCAGTGCAACTGCATGTGAATCACCTGGAGTGACTCTATTAGGTGACGTCATACTCGTGGACCAATCACAATGGGCCTAGAATATGTTAGTGTGCTGTGACACTGTGCTGTATTTTCCCATGAACGCTAAACAGCCTACACTTTAGTTGTATTTTGTTTTCTCCTAAGTTAGACTTAGAGGGGGAAATAATGGTTTCATTTATTCATTAAGTGACAGTTTTTAGAGAAAACTGGACGGGTTGGCTGGACGTTTACGTGCCAAATTCATATTTGAATGTCATATCTGACAGACAGAATCTGTCAGTATTTTTACTGAGTTTTTTATTTTGTTTCATACAAGTACATACATTTTTTCCTTATGAAAATGTCATTGTGAAAATTACATTGACAGATTATAGTTTTGCTATAGCCTGCAGATTCACTCTAAAACAGAAGTTCCCAACCTGGAGGTCAGGACCCCCACAAGGGGTTGCCAAAGCTTCACAAGGCCTTTTCAACTTTAAAAATATACAAAGCAGGCCTATATCTCAGCATCTCATTCATTTCTGTAAAGAAAACTAAACTAAATTGTTATTTTTAAAGTTTAGATTAATATTTAAGATCTAAACACTGAAGACCTTAACACAAGCTAAATTCACAGCGCCTTCACTCTCTGATAAACAAGCCTGGTTCTGGGTTAGAGAAGTAAGCAGTACTCAACACCCAGAGAAAAAAAGACTAATAAAAAATGAGAACAATTAATTTGTCAAAGAAAAAGCCTATTTAGTATATACAATCGCATACATAAAACAGACAGAGACATAGATGCAAAAACAAAATCATTGAGCTAATAAATAAAAATCTTCTTTTTCCTTTTTTTTTTTTTTAATTTTTTCTCTTTTTCAGTTTGAGAAGAAAACAATTAATTGCTGCTGCCTGACATTTTCCTGCTGCCTGAGAGAGCAGACACAACTACACTCAAAACGCCACTTGCAATAAAAGACCCACAAACAAAAAGCCAATAAGAGTAAAACAATTATATATAAAAATCTGAATATAATTTAAAATCCTTCTTGCCCACAAAGCTCTTCAAGGTCAGCAACCTTGGTATCTTGAAGAGCTCATAGTACCCTGTTACCCCATTAGAACACTGCACTCCCACTGTTTAAGGTTTCTGCCTGTTAAAAGAAAGTTTTTTTATATATATTTATATATTTAATTTATATATTTAAATATTTATATATTTAAAGTACGGTTAAGAGTACAGTCTAGACCTGCTCTATTTGAAAATTGTCCTGAGAAGTTATTGTTATGTTATGTTTGGTGCTATACAAATAAAATTGAATTGTAGGTTTGGGCTAAGGACAAGTCCAGGTTGATTAAGATCCAGGCTGAGTAATCTGGATAACTCAGAAATCCACCTGTGAAGAACAGAGTTATTGTTGTTAATTAAACTCACGCTGGATGTTTCAGCTCCTCCCAGCATGCAATGACTGTGTGTAAGTGAAAGTGTAAACAATGCAATAGGGGTTTCCCTTTCTTTTACTCACACACACACCCTCAATTCCAGTAAACAGAACTCATTTTAGCCTCTCCCCTTTTGCCTGCTATTGGCTGATACAGTCAGTTTTTTACCTCGTTGTTACATTTTCTCTAAACTGTGCCGATGATGGTCCTCTGACACTGTCATGGCCTTGTGGGAATTAACTGATTTTTGTCAACTTCCTCATCAAAGATTTAGGATTAACCTGCGACACGATGATGCCTAAAGGGGCCATTCCTCATTATGCAAGTAAGTATTGATGAAATTATTACCACAAATTGCTTTTAGGGATAAAAGTTAAAATGAAAGTTGAGCATATATACAGTACAATGTCACAGTTCTATTCAACCTGCGTGTGCTCTCTTCATGTTGAAATATTTGATTTCTTTTGAAACGTTGTACCCAGAGGTGGAAAATGTACACATTCTTCTCTCAAGTAGAGTACAGACACTAAAACTCTGGTAAAAGCAGAAGTACTGACTCAACATCTGTACTCAAGTGAAAACGTATAGGCTCTAAAATGTACTCAGAGTAGAAATACGAAGGTAAAAAGTATTGTCTTGGTTTCTTTAAAGGACATGTCTACCGGCTTTTAGCTCTCAGTTAGCTGTGTGCAAAGCTAACTGAATCTTTGAACTGGGTCACACAGCATGTTATGCACATGCACGTAGCGGCAGCACAGTAATAATCAATAATTCCTCTCAAATACATTGATACTAGCATAAGAAGCCTGTTTTGAAAATGTATGGAATATAAAGTATGGATATTTCTGTAGAAATGTAGGGAGTAAAAGTAGAAAAAAAGTACTGGTTGTAGCATGAGCTGTCTCACCACAAAGTGGTCACAGGTCTTCCTGGGGTCCACACAAAAACCATAACTATAAAAGGTTCCAAAACAGGAATAACAAAATAACATCTATGTAAGATTCATCAACTTTTATTAAGTGACTTTTTTAAAGAAAATCTACTTTTGATTGTCTGATGTTGACCATGTCATAGCAGAAGAAGCCCTATATAGAGCAGTTGTTTGTGGACTTGGTACTACCAGATAACCTGTACTTACCTGTCATGCTATATATCCTTGACAAGAACCAGTGTATTAGTTTTTTGCAAAAGAAGTGCAGTGTATTATTCCAAATAACACTTAGTCACACACTCCAGGTATGACAGAAGAGATGAACACAATCATTCATAACAGAAGGTGGTTTATATGCAAAACCTCTCTTTGAAATAGCTTCGCCCTCATAGAGATGATACGATCATTCTAGTCAGACCAAGACAGTAAATTATCAAATCTAACATCTGACCTGCTCAATTGATATCCAATAAGTTGAGTGCTGTGGTTTTCGCACTCCCACTACCAAATACATTTAGTTTAGTCAGTGTTCAATAGCAATTTGTTAATTTTCACCTATTAAGCGTATAGTATCCAACTCAACAAGTAGATGATCTCTCACTTCCACTAATGTGAGTGACATAAAGAACAAAATTAAGTAATCAGCACATATAACTACATCAACATTTCACAATATATGGAGGATCATTTATAAAAATGTAAAATAAAGCACTCTTCACCGCTGTCTCCTCTCACAGGGAGAAGATGATCTGCTGGATCCTGCTGCTCATCAACCTGACCTCCTGTGTCTGTGGTTAGTTTCCACCTTCACTTTATTATCCATGAAGAGAAAAGTCCAAATACACTTTCAGACTTCCATCTTTCAATCTGTAAGGAGGAAGGCCTCTACAGCACTGAGAGCATCACTAAACTGTCCACAGAAACATCTCTAGATGGAGTTTAAAGGCTCACATGTTAAAGTTGTCACTTTGTCTGGTCCTCACTTTCCCTCTCTGTCTCCTCAACAGGAACATTTGTAGTGAATGTGACACAGACCTCCTATCAGGCAGAGGAGAACCATAACATCACACTGGAATGGACGTTCACAACCAACACTGAAAGGCCCCCTGTTCCCCTTTATATTCACTGTGAACTGCTTACTGATCTAAAGGTCTCAGTCCTGTATTATCTACATGATGGTGTCGAGGTCACAGTGTCTCAGGATGAACAGTTTAAAGGACGAGTCCAGTGTGACAAAGACGTCCTCAGAGAAGGACGAATCAGACTCCATGTGTCCAGACTCAGGATTGAAGACTCGGGACTGTACCTGTGTGAAGTGCTCACAAATTATGGTGGCAACTTTGGGGAATGTCGACTCAACGTCACTGGTGAGTTAATTCAGTAGACTTTAGTAGAACTTTCTCAAACAAACAAGATAACATGTTAGTTATTGAGCCTCTGGTCGCTGGTGGTAGCTACATATATTTGTCGTATGAATAAAACTCTCCACCAGAAAGCAAATAAAACGCTGAGTAGAAAAATGTTGTGGACTGAACACTAATGAAAATATACCTATGAATATTATATTCCATTTAGGGTGCCCTAAATATTACATACTGGGCCTTTAAAAAAATGTTACCTTTACAAAAAAGTTCTACACAAAGTGGCTTCAAATCACAAACTGTAATAATAATTAGCATCTTAGAAATATAATAATAGACAATAGTGTAAACATTAAAATGTATTAATTTTACCCTAATCTGCTGCTTATTTTGTTTTTTTCTTCAGTAAAATGTTGCTGATCAAATGAATAACAGACACATATTTGTTTGATCTCCTTTCAGCAGCCAGAGTTCAGCCCAAAGATGAGAGACAAGAGCCACAAAA